TACAATGGCAGGAAAAACAAATTGACTTTCGATCTTGAGCTATCGGCTTACGAAACAGAAAAGGAAAATTTGCGCATTTATCAGTTAATTATTCGTTTATTCCTTTTGATCTGTTATCCTGGCATGTTGGTTGCAAGCTGGGCTACGATTAGTATTCTTATTTACAAAAAAATCGAGGAACGTGCAAACTATATTAGAGCAACCGTCTGTGCGATTTTCCTGAATTTATGCGTTCTGTACGAAGGAACCAGATTGTTATGGATACTCTCAATAATGACGTTAACGTTAATTATGATAATGAAAAGATTCCAAGTCCTGTCTAATGATCTGCAGCGAGCTAAAACTACTTGTTCTTATGATGCTATCCAACAATTGAAAATGAAACACAACGAATTGTGCGAATTTATAAATCAGGTTAATGATAAATGGAGCAAGTGTATTTTCTTTCTTTACGGTTTTATTATTACTTTTGTATCGTTTATGTTATACAACACAGTATTTCCCGGTTTCCCTGCGCATTTGTATGTTTTCGTTTGTCTGGCAACTGCAGTTTCTATCGCAGGAGCAATTACTATTTCTCTGGTTGTTTCTCGTGTTTCTTCAACTGTAAGTTACTTTCTGTTTGCTTCGGTAAATCTACTTTTCCTGACATTGCTCGTTATTTTCAGGCTTACGATTCTTTTCAAGAAATTCGAAAATTAGGAGCAGGAAACTTCAGATTAGAAGAAAAACTAAAGGTTTTTTTCTAGAAATAATAGCTTGATTTTTTGTCATTTTAAATAAATTATTTTACAGATGCTGGATTTCATGAAGAAATTTCGTGAAAATGAAATTGGATTCAGTTGTGGAGATTGTTTTATGTTTTCGAAAGAAACGGCAGTTGAGGTAAGACGATTGCATAAAAAACATTTCAAGTTCGAGAAATTTTGCCTTAGATCCGAATATTGCAATTTTTTCGGCTTTAAAACTTTTATTCACCATAGGTAATCACTTTCGAGTTTAAATGCTTATATATAAATGACTTTAACGTGGTAGAAGTTTTATCATTTCAGACTGTCAAAACTTGTATTATTTGTATTATTGTATTATTGTATTATTTACTGTTGTAATTAGTATTTCATGCGGAACAAAAAATTTACCAATTGATGACATAGAGAACAACTCGTTTGTCTGTCCAATATCAGAGTAACAATGCTTACACATCACGGAATTGACCAATCAAACTGTTCTTTTTTAAATGCAAGATAAATTTAGTCAAATTTATATATAGTTACATAATAATAAAAGCATTAAATTTTATATAGTAACTGATTAAATATCAGTTATTAGTTAGTAATGAGATTGTTTATTTAATTAATTGTTGGTTGTTTTACAAATTTTAGGTATACAATGCATTATATACCGTATTCAACATGTTGCTACAGATTAGAGACATCTGGTTGGGAGTAGATTCGAAATGTGTTGCTTCGAAACATTCAATTTCACCTCTCAATGCTACAGAGACGGTTTCTCAGAAATGAATACTGTAACAAAATCGATTAAAAAGTTAGAGATATAGTATCCATGCTTAATACTGATTTTTCTGTGGATTTGAAAGTCATTCTTGAGAACACTATAAAAATCTACATATTCTATATATGCAGCCGAAACAAAGACTTGGAAGCATAGTTGTAGTTAATTCTATTATTTTCTTTATATCTGCAATAACAAAACATCAAATTCACTAAAGTATTAAGACTCCTACTACACTGAATACGTTACTATTGCACTTATTAGAAATGTATAATTAGAAAAAAAAATTATATTCAACCTGCAAAGATGAGATGTATTCACACTGAAGTGCATTAAGACATTCATATTATTAATAATATTTAAATTGATTTTAGGTGGTGAATCTTACACATCTTTAATCTGAAATGCAATAGAGTTATTACAAAAAATAAATACCTATAAGTGCGCTGTAAATCAATGTTCTCTGTCATGGAATGCCAGAAAACATTGATTTACAGCGCATTAATTTACAAGAGACCAAACAGAAAACGTTCATATTTTTTTGCTATTGGAATGATAGTTTAAGTTTATTTAATTCCTAGTGTTACGGTCATGACATCAAAATGGTGGTAAAAATTAAATACTTGTGAACAATCTCGATATTCACGTCATAACTATTATATTTCTTGATTGTGTTCATAGGCGATTTTAAATATTTCATTGACGACTTAAACGTATTAAAGGATAATTTTTGTACCATATTTGTATTTATTTCCAACAATTACATGTTATTATAAAGACTGTTATAAATAACTGTAAACAATAGAATAATAAAACCACCTTTTACTAACCTTTAACATGCAGTCTTTTTTATTAACGAATAATGAAACAGTGAGAGAAAAATTCAATTATGTAAAATTAAAAGTTGAAAAATTTCATAGTTGAAACAAAGTTTAATACACTTTGGTTCAACAGATAAGCAGATTTTCAGGAGAATACTTTGTCGTATGGCAATAAAATTGACTTGGTGCCGGACAGACAACAGTGATCGTCGCATTTGTTGGGCACAGAAGTCACAATCCTTGTAGAGCAATTACGTCAGGAAGCGCGACAATTGAGTTAGGAAGCTTTGACTCTACTGTAAATGTAAACGAAGTCATAGGCCCGTATATTTCACATATGAAGAGACCCTCATTACATTTTTAAATTCCTCGTCGCAATAAATGGAAAATAGCAAAGTGTCGGCAAAAGAGAACCATCAGATTTCGAGAACGAACTAAATTCTATAAGCCTAGAGAAGACGTGCTAGCGACCTATGTACTGTACATCGCCCGACACAATCGTGCGATATCGCTTTGTCTCGTCCCCTGATACAACTTTGTATTACGAAACCGCACACTTTAGAATAAAATTAATTGAGAAATGATCTTTTCGCAATTAATAATTTCAAAAATAAAAAATTAAAGCAGTGTTTAATCTCATTACTTTCATATTTTTATATTATATATAACGACCAAAACTTACTCTGTACATAGAAACACTTCGATCGTCATTGACGTTTCATAGACTAAATCGATATTTATTGTCAAGTATAAACTACATTTAGAGACATGGAATAAAATCTCAAAAGATGATATCACACACAATTTCCATTATAAATGAACTTTGACCCGAAATGTTACGCTATTCTTTTCTGGATTTCTATTTATGATAAACAAAAATTTGGTCTGCGTTGTCGTCATAAATCAGCAAAAATATTAAAAAATGTAAAACAAAGAGGAGGTTTCCCGACGAGGTCTCTTTCATCGTAAGGCTAAATACAGTTGTCTGTTTTGTTTCGTGAAAAATTCGTCACTGTTGCATGATTGAAAGCTAACTTTATGTAACTTACAAGTAAAAGCAACAAGTTTCACTCTCAATATGTAGCCTATTTGTGACAGGACTCGGAAAATTCGTTACTTGTCAGAACCTGTAATATCTGGAATAATTGTGCTTATGCTGTCTTCATTTTCAACCATGCCCAGTAGCTTCAATAACTGCATTATGCCGGGTTATGCAAATTGGGCAAGGATACAAACGAGTTCAAAGAATGCAAGTATGAAGTTTTTCTTCATAAACGTGATTATTAAAACCAAACGAACTGCCGAATTATCGGGCTGTAAGTTCGATGCCGCTATTAAAGCAGCCGAGATAGACAAATCAAGAATACTAGACGGCAAAACAAATACTGTAACGCATCTCAAAAACGAACTAGAAATCTTCCAGGCAACGTGTGAAAAAACATATAACATTCGTCTTTTCTTAAATGTATTAAAAATTCATTCGCTTGTTTGGTTGATCCTTGCGTCCATCGAGTCATCTGGCAAGGCCAACATTGGGGAACTTAAATTTTCCGCATATGAAATCCTAGATGAACTTAAGGGATATTTTAGTAACAATGGATCTGGAAAGCTATGCTCAGGCAAGCATTAGGACTACATCATCTCTAATGTCCAGCGAATATTCGACTTATTCGACAATGGTCTTACTGACATGAAATTTGCCAAGTTCGAAAAGAAGATTGACATTCTGCTTGCCTGTGAACAGAAAAACTCGCTTATGGAGAGCCAGCAGAATATTCTCTCCAAACTCTCTGTCATAGAGGNCCATTTAATTTATAAACAACCGAATAACGTGTATTAATTTTTAAATATCTCTTTTTCAACAGACGTGTTATTGATACAGGATATAACTATTCTTGTATTCTTTCTCCTCGTCTTTATTCGCGTTTGTTCAAACAATTCGCCATACAAACCTACATGATTCTTTTTAATATCCACCATACGATTCGAATGCTTATACAGTAGTGCAATATTCAACACACAAACTACCAAAAACGATTGAACGCAATTAAGTTTAATTCCGAACGATTAATTAAATTATTTAAACATACAATTAAAGTGTAATTAATTATAATTAACAAAATCATATAATAAATATCATTTTGAAAACAATTCTTTTGAATATTTATATATTGAATCAGTCAAGTGTGAACTGATTCGGGTCAAGGGACATCATCAAAAAAATCTGTGTATTCTGATGTCTCCTTCTTGAAGACGTTTGTTCGGATCCTGAAAACACAAGAAATCATAAAAATTAATTACAACGGTTGATTCTGTTTTAATTATATTTTTATCTGTAAACTTTCAAAGTTAACTCATGTTACAGTAAGTTATTCAGCTTCTGATTATTCATTAAAATTTGATTATCACAAACATTGAAATTCAGTATTCAACAGTGTTGATTAAACAAACTGAATTAGTTATTTAAATATTCACCTAATTATTCAGAAAGTGTGTTCAAATGTATTTATGTTATTAAATGAACGCGTTTCTTATTAACTACATAAAATTTATGAAATTCTTGTATTAAACAACATAAATACTAACGTTTAATACTTCGAGATGTAATAAAAAATAATTATGCAAATGGAATGTGTCATATAAATACAGTAAATATTATAATCTTACCTTTTGTAGTAGATCCTCGATCATGTCTACGGCAATTCATCGACAGTCCCATAGCATACTGCAACTGAACATTTTGAGCCACTGAAAAGTCACGCTTACATTAATCACATCGTTTCACTTTATCGTTAACAAATTAAAAATAACGATGGCTTACTTTTGGCTATCTCGATAAGTGACGTCGGGTCCGTATTGTTAATATTGTTAATTTTTTTCAAATAAATTTCCATTGGAGTTTGTCCAATTAACATCTGGTGTAATATGATTCCAAATGCCCACCAATCGCAGTAAGCATCTAAACGTAATACATATTAATTACATATGAAACGAATGATAATAATAAACGAAATGATTCGATTAAATTCCAATAGAGCACCTTACCGTACGGTTTCTTGTCAAGAATTTTTGGACAAAGATAGAACAAACTCCCGCAATAGTCTTTGGTATTTCGTTCATACTGACGGAAAGAAACGACAATGTCGTATGTAATGTGTACCTCTAGGAAACTTAGAATATTACAGTATACAATACTTACTGTGCACAGACCGAAATCGATTAACTGTGCTCCTTTGGTTTTATTTAACATGATGTTGCTAGAGCTAATGTCCCGGTGAATTCTTCCTGTCGAAAACAGAAACAAATTCGTCATACAATTTGCATTTGTGAAGAAATGAATAAATAAATATATTTAAAAAATTACCTTTGTTATGAATAAACGTAATGGCCGAAGCCACTTGTGCAGCAAATATTTTGGCTTCGTATTCCTCCAGAAATTCGTTGTACTGTAAATATGTTGTCAAGTCCTGTCTGTCCACGTAGTAAGAGACAAAACAGAAACTAAAGAAAACAATTATTAGTCTATACAAGCATAAAGTATTGCCAATAAATCGAATGAAAAAGGTTAAAATTTACCTTGTATTCATTTTGAAATATCTTATTAACGTCACAATATGAGGATGGCTCGATGCGGACGTCCATGCAGTTTTCTCTTTGTTTATCACGCGCCTCTATAAATAAAGACATTTTCTTAATATACATTAAACTAAGAATATTCTGTAGATATTTCTAATTCATGTTCATAAAACATCGCTTAGTGCATCATCAATAATTGAGTAAATTTTGATAAACGTATAATAACATAAATGATGTGTGAATTGATGATTTGTGAAGTCAAGAATAACTTAATAAACAAGTTCTGTTTTTTGACGCTGTATTACAATCGAAAACAAAGCTTAAAGCATACCTGTGCGAGAGAAAAGCGCTTTATCTTGTCGGCTTTCAAACCACTTTCTTATCTGAATTTTTACACCGAGCCAAAAAAAAAACTGTACCGAAATTTCCCTTTCCTATGAAATTTTTTGTTTTTTCAATTTTTGGAATGTTTTTTAAGTCTCCAAATTTTTTCAAAATTTTTTTCCCGCGCGAAAAAATTTTATCGCGATTTCAATTTACCTTCAATGATGCACGATTAACGATTAATTGTTTTTTAATGGGATTTTGATATCAAATTTCATTCATTGTTCTAAAGGTCTAGTGCACGGATTTTACTTTGGTAAAGTTATTTAAAGCTACTTTCTAATATTACAAAGCTGTCTCCCTTTCTCGCGGGGGTCGTCTCTTATAAGGCCGGCTTTGGTAGCTTAGTGACCTCTCTCCTGTCTTCCTCAGATTGGTCATCTTCTATAAGACCACCTCTTTCTCCCTGTTTCTTCCGGAGTGAAAAGCGATAAGCTGCAGCACTCCTCTATCGGCAATGAAATGAAATGAAATGATATTAAAAACGACCTCCAATAGTTTTTTAATTTTTTTAATTAAGTCGGGGGTCGAAAATTGCAATAAAAATTTGAATTTGTTAAAAATATTTAAAAATATACGGCCAGCTAGTATTCACCCTACTATAAACCCTTCGCCTTCCGAGATTTCTATGAGAATGTCCCGGGAAATCCAACTCCAGCTGTTCTCAAGGTCATCCAGCTGTGTAAACAATGACTCATCGGCGTAAGATTTCACAGAAAGGCGAGACAAAGGAAAATAAAATTTGAAGCTTTTTCTTCAAAATTAACGCATTTCTTTCGTTTTTTTTCAGTTTTAAGTATTTTTTATGTTTAATTACATTAATATCAAAAATTGCTGGGAACTAAAGCGATTAATTAACCCGATATTTATTCTCCGAAAATCCCTACAGGTATTTTCCGAAGGAAGATTTCTCCCTCCCTTTTCTCTCGCCCCATACCATAGCGAGAAAGCAGTGCAGGTAGTCTTTCCATTGTAATTTAAGGTTACTAAAAGGAATTTTTTAGTCTCTTTATAACTTGTTTCCTTGTATTATACTCGAAAAATGTTCTTATATTTTGCTTTCGAGATAACTGAGATGCAAAAGGAAACTTCTTACAAAGTCTTGATTTAAAATAGTTCATATATACGTGCTGACTGAAAACACGACTTACATTGTAAGTAATATTCTTTTCAGTTTCTTTACAAACATTATCAATGTTGGTCATAATGGAACGATGATAGTGATTAAACTGGATTAAGCGCAAGACTAGTAGAAGCTTCATTTGTGTGTGCTTTATTGATGCTGGAGTCAGATTTCGTAAAATTCAGACATCGTAATCTTTATAGTAAGACTAGCTGCTACGACCCGCTTCGCTGGGTTTTTATTTGTGGGCAAAAAGTAACGATAGTGAAAACTAAGATAATTATATTATAGCCAATCTTATCCGTTTTCACAGAATGCAAGAATTAGGTCCCTCGTTTTCAAACGTTTCCAGAGAATTTTTACATGAGCATAAAAATATGTTCGATTTCCCGCAAAAGCGCAAAAAACCGCTTGTAAATCTTGCATGCCGCTTTATATTAACACTTCCTGGTCCCGATTCTATTTCTGAATGTCTCCTGTTCACGTCCATTCAAACGAACTATTTTCAACGCTTCTGGAACGTTTACGATCGTTCTATAATCGAACCAATATTCGAATTAAATTTGAACAAATTCGAACAAAACATTCGAAATAGAAAGCCACTTTCAACCACTTTCAGCCTCATATCTCCCCCACCCTTATAGCTATCGAGACGCAACCCCCCTGGTGCACGAATGGAGACTTGGGGCTACTACCACATACAAACACCATTCACGTGCGNAAACGACCTCCAATAGTTTTTTAATTTTTTTAAATTAATATATTTTATTATATATACGTTTAATTAAGTCGGGGGGTCGGAAATCGCAATAAAAAAACGTAATTTTTGAAAAATATTTAAAAATATACAGCCAGCTAGTATTCACTCTAATTTAAACCCTTCTCCTCCTGAAACTTCTATGAGAATGTCTTGGAAAATCCAACTCCAGCTGTTCTCAAAGTCATCCAGCTGTAAACACAATGCCTCATTGGTGTCAAATTTCGCAGAAAGGCGAGACAATGGAAAATAAAGTTTGAAGCTTTTTCTTCAAAATTAACGCATTTTTTCGCAGTTTTAAATATTTTTTTATGTTTAATTACATTAATATTAAAAATTGCTGTATACCCAACGAGTTAGTAAGTGATTGTTTATTTAATTAATTGTTAGTTGTTTTACAAATTTCAGGTATACAATGGATTATATACCGTATTCAACATGTTGCTACAGATTAGAGACATCTGGTTGGGAATAGATTCGAAATGTGTTGCTTCGAAACATTCAATTTCACCTCTCAATGCTACAGAGACGGTTTCTCAGAAATGAATACTGTAACAAAATCGATTAAAAAGTTAGAGATATAGTATCCATGCTTAATACTGATTTTTCTGTGGATTTGAAAGTCATTCTTGAGAACACTATAAAAATCTACATATTCTATATATGCAGCCGAAACAAAGACTTGGAAGCATAGTTGTAGTTAATTCTATTATTTTCTTTATATCTGCAATAACAAAACATCAAATTCACTAAAGTATTAAGACTCCTACTACACTGAATACGTTACTATTGCACTTATTAGAAATGTATAATTAGAAAAAAAAATTATATTCAACCTGCAAAGATGAGATGTATTCACACTGAAGTGCATTAAGACATTCATATTATTAATAATATTTAAATTGATTTTAGGTGGTGAATCTTACACATCTTTAATCTGAAATGCAATAGAGTTATTACAAAAAATAAATACCTATAAGTGCGCTGTAAATCAATGTTCTCTGTCATGGAATGCCAGAAAACATTGATTTACAGCGCATTAATTTACAAGAGACCAAACAGAAAACGTTCATATTTTTTTGCTATTGGAATGATAGTTTAAGTTTATTTAATTCCTAGTGTTACGGTCATGACATCAAAATGGTGGTAAAAATTAAATACTTGTGAACAATCTCGATATTCACGTCATAACTATTATATTTCTTGATTGTGTTCATAGGCGATTTTAAATATTTCATTGACGACTTAAACGTATTAAAGGATAATTTTTGTACCATATTTGTATTTATTTCCAACAATTACATGTTATTATAAAGACTGTTATAAATAACTGTAAACAATAGAATAATAAAACCACCTTTTACTAACCTTTAACATGCAGTCTTTTTTATTAACGAATAATGAAACAGTGAGAGAAAAATTCAATTATGTAAAATTAAAAGTTGAAAAATTTCATAGTTGAAACAAAGTTTAATACACTTTGGTTCAACAGATAAGCAGATTTTCAGGAGAATACTTTGTCGTATGGCAATAAAATTGACTTGGTGCCGGACAGACAACAGTGATCGTCGCATTTGTTGGGCACAGAAGTCACAATCCTTGTAGAGCAATTACGTCAGGAAGCGCGACAATTGAGTTAGGAAGCTTTGACTCTACTGTAAATGTAAACGAAGTCATAGGCCCGTATATTTCACATATGAAGAGACCCTCATTACATTTTTAAATTCCTCGTCGCAATAAATGGAAAATAGCAAAGTGTCGGCAAAAGAGAACCATCAGATTTCGAGAACGAACTAAATTCTATAAGCCTAGAGAAGACGTGCTAGCGACCTATGTACTGTACATCGCCCGACACAATCGTGCGATATCGCTTTGTCTCGTCCCCTGATACAACTTTGTATTACGAAACCGCACACTTTAGAATAAAATTAATTGAGAAATGATCTTTTCGCAATTAATAATTTCAAAAATAAAAAATTAAAGCAGTGTTTAATCTCATTACTTTCATATTTTTATATTATATATAACGACCAAAACTTACTCTGTACATAGAAACACTTCGATCGTCATTGACGTTTCATAGACTAAATCGATATTTATTGTCAAGTATAAACTACATTTAGAGACATGGAATAAAATCTCAAAAGATGATATCACACACAATTTCCATTATAAATGAACTTTGACCCGAAATGTTACGCTATTCTTTTCTGGATTTCTATTTATGATAAACAAAAATTTGGTCTGCGTTGTCGTCATAAATCAGCAAAAATATTAAAAAATGTAAAACAAAGAGGAGGTTTCCCGACGAGGTCTCTTTCATCGTAAGGCTAAATACAGTTGTCTGTTTTGTTTCGTGAAAAATTCGTCACTGTTGCATGATTGAAAGCTAACTTTATGTAACTTACAAGTAAAAGCAACAAGTTTCACTCTCAATATGTAGCCTATTTGTGACAGGACTCGGAAAATTCGTTACTTGTCAGAACCTGTAATATCTGGAATAATTGTGCTTATGCTGTCTTCATTTTCAACCATGCCCAGTAGCTTCAATAACTGCATTATGCCGGGTTATGCAAATTGGGCAAGGATACAAACGAGTTCAAAGAATGCAAGTATGAAGTTTTTCTTCATAAACGTGATTATTAAAACCAAACGAACTGCCGAATTATCGGCTGTAAGTTCGATGCCGCTATTAAAGCAGCCGAGATAGACAAATCAAGGATACTATACGGCAAAACAAATACTGTAACGCATCACAAAAACGAACTAGAAATCTTCCAGGCTACGTGTGAAAAAAAACACATAACATTCGTCTTCTCTTAAATGCATTAGAAATTCATTCGCACGTTTGGTTGATCCTTGCATCCATGGAGTCATCTGGCAAGGCCAACATTGGGGAACAAATTTTCCGCATATGAAATCCTAGATGAACTTTTAATTATAACGATTTTACTAATTATTGCATACATTAGTAAAATCGTTAAAATAAGTTTTCATTGGCATAAATTTGAGATTTCGTTATTCTGTATAACATTTTAAATAAAATTCATTCGTTTCGATAAAATTTAATTTTCATGAGCATAAAATTAAGCCGTAGAACTGAAATAGCTCTGTGGGTAAACCCCGTGTACTTTGACATATAGACTCGAAAATTCCGCCGGCACCTCACGGATAACGAGAAAGGATTAAGCTGGAAATTTGAGCTTCCTAGATCCTTAATGTGTTTATATGTAAATATTGTAAATATGTCAACAGCTAGCATTTTGACATGATAAATAGTCTTTTCTAAAGGAAAATAATTCCTTCTAGTTTGTCAATGTGAAGACAGTAAGTACCATTTAATTTATAAACAACCGAATAACGTGTATTAATTTTTAAATATCTCTTTTTCAACAGACGTGTTATTGATACAGGATATAACTATTCTTGTATTCTTTCTCCTCGTCTTTATTCGCGTTTGTTCAAACAATTCGCCATACAAACCTACATGATTCTTTTTAATATCCACCATACGATTCGAATGCTTATACAGTAGTGCAATATTCAACACACAAACTACCAAAAACGATTGAACGCAATTAAGTTTAATTCCGAACGATTAATTAAATTATTTAAACATACAATTAAAGTGTAATTAATTATAATTAACAAAATCATATAATAAATATCATTTTGAAAACAATTCTTTTGAATATTTATATATTGAATCAGTCAAGTGTGAACTGATTCGGGTCAAGGGACATCATCAAAAAAATCTGTGTATTCTGATGTCTCCTTCTTGAAGACGTTTGTTCGGATCCTGAAAACACAAGAAATCATAAAAATTAATTACAACGGTTGATTCTGTTTTAATTATATTTTTATCTGTAAACTTTCAAAGTCAACTCGTATTACAGTAAGTTATTCAGCTTCTGATTACTCATTAAAATTTGATTATCACAAACATTGAAATTCAGTATTCAACAGTGTTGATTAAACAAACTGAATTAGTTATTCAAATATTCACCTAATTATTCAGAAAGTGTGTTCAAATGTATTTATGTTATTAAATAAACGCGTTTCTTATTAACTACATAAAATTTATGAAATTCTTGTATCAAACAACATAAATACTAACGTTTAATACTTCGAGATGTAATAAAAAATAATTATGCAAATGGATGTGTCATATAAATACAGTAAATATTATAATCTTACCTTTTGTAGTAGATCCTCGATCATGTCTACGGCAATTCATCGACAGTCCCATAGCATACTGCAACTGAACATTTTGAGCCACTGAAAAGTCACGCTTACATTAATCACATCGTTTCACTTTATCGTTAACAAATTAAAAATAACGATGGCTTACTTTTGGCTATCTCGATAAGTGACGTCGGGTCCGTATTGTTAATATTGTTAATTTTTTTCAAATAAATTTCCATTGGAGTTTGTCCAATTAACATCTGGTGTAATATGATTCCAAATGCCCACCAATCGCAGTAAGCATCTAAACGTAATACATATTAATTACATATGAAACGAATGATAATAATAAACGAAATGATTCGATTAAATTCCAATAGAGCACCTTACCGTACGGTTTCTTGTCAAGAATTTTTGGACAAAGATAGAACAAACTCCCGCAATAGTCTTTGGTATTTCGTTCATACTGACGGAAAGAAACGACAATGTCGTATGTAATGTGTACCTCTAGGAAACTTAGAATATTACAGTATACAATACTTACTGTGCACAGACCGAAATCGATTAACTGTGCTCCTTTGGTTTTATTTAACATGATGTTGCTAGAGCTAATGTCCCGGTGAATTCTTCCTGTCGAAAACAGAAACAAATTCGTCATACAATTTGCATTTGTGAAGAAATGAATAAATAAATATATTTAAAAAATTACCTTTGTTATGAATAAACGTAATGGCCGAAGCCACTTGAGCAGCAAATATTTTGGCTTCGTATTCCTCCAGAAATTCGTTGTACTGTAAATATGTTGTCAAGTCCTGTCCGTCCACGTAGTAGGAGACAAAACAGAAACTAAAGAAAAGAATTATTAGTCTATACAAGCATAAAGTATTGCCAATAAATCGAATGAAAAAGGTTAAAATTTACCTTGTATTCATTTTGAAATAGCTTATTAACGTCACAATATGAGGATGGCTCGATGCGGACGTCCATGCAGTTTTCTCTTTGTTTATCACGCGCCTCTATAAATAAAGACATTTTCTTAATATACATTAAACTAAGAATATTCTGTAGATATTTCTAATTCATGTTCATAAAACATCGCTTAGTGCATCATCAATAATTGAGTAAATTTTGATAAACGTATAATAACATAAATGATGTGTGAATTGATGATTTGTGAAGTCAAGAATAACTTAATAAACAAGTTCTGTTTTTTGACGCTGTATTACAATCGAAAACAAAGCTTAAAGCATACCTGTGCGAGAGAAAAGCGCTTTATCTTGTCGGCTTTCAAACCACTTTCTTATCTGAATTTTTACACCGAGCCAAAAAAAAAACTGTACCGAAATTTCCCTTTCCTATGAAATTTTTTGTTTTTTCAATTTTTGGAATGTTTTTTAAGTCTCCAAATTTTTTCAAAATTTTTTTCCCGCGCGAAAAAATTTTATCGCGATTTCAATTTACCTTCAATGATGCACGATTAACGATTAATTGTTTTTTAATGGGATTTTGATATCAAATTTCATTCATTGTTCTAAAGGTCTAGTGCACGGATTTTACTTTGGTAAAGTTATTTAAAGCTACTTTCTAATATTACAAAGCTGTCTCCCTTTCTCGCGGGGGTCGTCTCTTATAAGGCCGGCTTTGGTAGCTTAGTGACCTCTCTCCTGTCTTCCTCAGATTGGTCATCTTCTATAAGACCACCTCTTTCTCCCTGTTTCTTCCGGAGTGAAAAGCGATAAGCTGCAGCACTCCTCTATCGGCAATGAAATGAAATGAAATGATATTAAAAACGACCTCCAATAGTTTTTTAATTTTTTTAATTAAGTCGGGAGTCGAAAATCGCAATAAAAATTTGAATTTTTTAAAAATATTTAAAAATATACGGCCAACTAGTATTCACCCTACTATAAACCCTTCGCCTTCCGAGATTTCTATGAGAATGTCCCGGGAAATCCAACTCCAGCTGTTCTCAAGGTCATCCAGCTGTGTAAACAATGACTCATCGGCGTAAGATTTCACAGAAAGGCGAGACAAAGGAAAATAAAATTTGAAGCTTTTTCTTCAAAATTAACGCATTTCTTTCGTTTTTTTTCAGTTTTAAGTATTTTTTATGTTTAATTACATTAATATCAAAAATTGCTGGGAACTAAAGCGATTAATTAACCCGATATTTATTCTCCGAAAATCCCTACAGGTATTTTCCGAAGGAAGATTTCTCCCTCCCTTTTCTCTCGCCCCATACCATAGCGAGAAAGCAGTGCAGGTAGTCTTTCCATTGTAATTTAAGGTTACTAAAAGGAATTTTTTAGTCTCTTTATAACTTGTTTCCTTGTATTATACTCGAAAAATGTTCTTATATTTTGCTTTCGAGATAACTGAGATGCAAAAGGAAACTTCTTACAAAGTCTTGATTTAAAATAGTTCATATATACGTGCTGACTGAAAACACGACTTACATTGTAAGTAATATTCTTTTCAGTTTCTTTACAAACATTATCAATGTTGGTCATAATGGAACGATGATAGTGATTAAACTGGATTAAGCGCAAGACTAGTAGAAGCTTCATTTGTGTGTGCTTTATTGATGCTGGAGTCAGATTTCGTAAAATTCAGACATCGTAATCTTTATAGTAAGACTAGCTGCTACGACCCGCTTCGCTGGGTTTTTATTTGTGGGCAAAAAGTAACGATAGTGAAAACTAAGATAATTATATTATAGCCAATCTTATCCGTTTTCACAGAATGCAAGAATTAGGTCCCTCGTTTTCAAACGTTTCCAGAGAATTTTTACATGAGCATAAAAATATGTTCGATTTCCCGCAAAAGCGCAAAAAACCGCTTGTAAATCTTGCATGCCGCTTTATATTAACACTTCCTGGTCCCGATTCTATTTCTGAATGTCTCCTGTTCACGTCCATTCAAACGAACTATTTTCAACGCTTCTGGAACGTTTACGATCGTTCTATAATCGAACCAATATTCGAATTAAATTTGAAANAGGCGTATGCAATCAAACGCGCGTGTATAGATTTTTCTTAAAACGCGCGTTTTACGGGCGTCAGCCGAGCGCTTTGAGATATATGTGCTGCCATGTTACTGTACATTCGATCGCGCGTTTTCGGGTAGAGTGGACGTACATTGGCCGAAATGGAGAACGATCATTTCGATACTGATCTATTTATTGAAGAAATCTAAAAGAGACCAACCATCGTCAAAGGATTTTATAGATATTTTAAAAGAATTAAAAGACTTGGTTTGCTTCATTAAAACATTTTTTATGCTTTGTTCCATTGCATATTTCTTAGCTTTAGTAACCATTTCCTGCGGTTCATTAGTGAGTTTGATCAATCCCAGACCGAGCAATGACGATGGAGATCGCATAGCACCTGGGCCAGTCTGCTCCACCTGAGCAGATCCATTTGTACCATTAAGATCATCAAGGTTTATTTTTTTCTGTGGTGGTTCGTCCATCGAATTTTCTGCACTTCCATCTCCGTTGATCGACGACACTTCGCCATTTTGCAATATGACCGTATTGATTGTTTCCATCATTATTTTATTTAATATAAAATAAAATTTTACTATAAAAACCGCTAATTCTTCATCGGCTCCTTACGACAAAAATGCGTAACCAATCCCTCTATTATCAAATTATATTTAATGGCTTAAAAATTCATTATTTTTAACACAAAATTACATTCATACATCATTAAAACACAGTTATATCTCATTCACTGTTATTTCATCCATACAACTACATCTAGATCTATATTAAACTAGAAAACATGAACATCATATTAATGATTTAATATGACGATCATGTTTCTCAAAATATCAATTAATATCTGATCAAACGGTAATAAATTTCCTGATTTCAATTAATATTTTAAAAATAATTATGATATTTACATAATATCAGAAATATCCACTTTTATCAATACAATAAATTAATGATTTTGAAAATATTTTTCGGGAGATGGCAACTCTTACTTTGAATGGATGGATGACATACGAGGTGCAAGTTCGTTGATGACATATTTGTAAACATGAATCCTTCAGGTTAGAATATCAAAATATGTGTAATTAAACTCTGATATTAAAAGAACTAAGTATAAAAATCTTACTAACGTTGTTATATGTTACTTATTTGACTCCACGAACAGAAATATTTCATTTTAAAAGAATTTTTTCTCTTTTTAGATAATAATAATCAATATTGGAATGATCCTCCTCAGTTTGCATATTCTGGACAAACAATGTCATCTTCTATGCCTAAAAGATTATTAAATAAATATGCGCCTTATCCAGAAATGACTGGAAAATCAAATGATACTCCTCCTCCCATAAAACTCTTAGGTAAGTATATTAAACAATTAGGCATATTATATATTAAACAATTGAAATCAATATAATTTAATAATGAATTTCAGAGTATCATTATTTACATGCAAAAATTGAATTGAATGATTCATTTCTAACTTGAGTATATTTCGATCAAACTCACATGTTGTATTCATCGCTACACACATACTACTGAAAGCACCACCTGTCACTTATGCTGTATTGCATCTACGGCATATATTTCACCTGATCGGCATTTGGGACTTGATTTCTAAATAGGTACTGTACAGTGGACCAGGACTTATAACCCCTTTCACTCTGTAATTTTTAAGCCAGCTTAACTAAATTGGCTTAAGGTATGAACTATGAATGAAACCGACTTGATGTTAAACCAATTTAACAACCGACAACCAGCTTGACTTAAATCGCTTTAAGCTTTCCCCGAGGTTGGCCACAAATTTAGAAAAAAAATGAATGGCGGAAACAGATGTCGATAAAGAAAAATATTGCGTTAAAAATAAATTTGCCAGGACGAATTCACAAATAGAAAAATTTAGAAAAAATAAATTTCCTTTGGACTATACATCTAAATTTTTCTATTTGTGAATTTGTCCTGGCAAATTTATTTTTAATGTATTTATTTATGTAATAATTATATTGGCCACCGCTAGAGGACTGTTTTAACTTATTTACATTGGATGGCGAACATGTAGCCTCAAATAAAAGGTCGGTATCGCCGTGAATTTGTTATTGCCTCTACAAAGCGTGTGAAAGGACAGATGAAGATGGACTCAGTTTTATGTATAGTCCAAAGGAAATTTATTTTTTCTAAATTTTTCTAAAAATATTGCGTATTTGAGTAAATATATGCTGCTTTAANCGAACATGTAGCCTCAAATAAAAGGTCGGTATCGCCGTGAATTTGTTATTGCCTCTACAAAGCGTGTGAAAGGACAGATGAAGATGGACTCAGTTTTATGTATAGTCCAAAGGAAATTTATTTTTTCTAAATTTTTCTAAAAATATTGCGTATTTGAGTAAATATATGCTGCTTTAATTTAAATATTTTGAATAACAGAAGCATAGACTTTGGATTATATATTGTTTTTATAATTGATATAACAAAATTAATGTTTTGTTACCAACAACAATAATAATGTTGGATAAAATATCTATCTGAAGGAATTATTTAAAATTGGTATTTTAATCTGAAATTATGCAAAATAAATTAGTTTGCAACAATTTATTAAAAACAAACAAAATTTATTTAAAATGTAACATAATGTATAATTGCTAGAAGGGTGTGAAATAAGTCACTTAACATTTCTCAATGTAAACAAGTAGTAAACCTTTAGCAGTAATTTTACTTAATTTATTCCAGTTTAACTATTAAGCCAGCTTAAAAATTACCATGTGAAAGGGATATTAGAGCAGTAGATTTTGTGAGGCAGAAAAAATTTAATTAAAACATAACGTACCATGTGCATTAACCATACTGTTTAGTAAAATGTATTGTTTTCATACTTAAAAAAGTGTACTAAGTTTTGATATATTTTCTTATAATACTCCGTAATTAAAGTCCAAGTTAATGTCAGAAGAATTTACATTTACATCATCTCTCTCTCAGAAAAGACAGTACAGTACTCTGGAAATTTCTAGCCAGTGGCTTTAGTGACAAAACAGTTAAATTGGGCTCTGTTGGTGCTACCTAGGCTGTGTACCTTAGTAACCAGATATCTGAGTTATCTAAAAGGTTTTAATTGTTTTATCTTTAATATAATGAAAGCTGCATAACAGACATTTTTCATTTACTTCAGAAGAAAGAAAAATGGATTAAGAACAAGTTGCAGTTAGACTTCCTCCTTAATTTTAACATTAACCACCTACTATATAAAATTGAAAGTCCCAATGCTTTCACATTTAAATTTGATTTCCGATCATTCACCTGATGACAATGATATGTTAATTGTCAAAAGTGCTTGTGTTTACAAATAAAATCTTATACACTGGTGTTTATATTTTGTTTAAATTGTGTTTTACAATAATGAGTAACATTTTATATTCATCGAATGACCAAAATTCATTATATCCATTGGGCCATAACTTGACCAATTAAATATCTACTCTATATGTGAAGTAACCTATAAAAAGATACTTTAATTAAGCAAGGAAATTATTATTTATTTACTTTTGAGTGCATCATATTCTACAGACTAACAGGAATATATAAGAGGGTGTTTATAGCCATGTGTTGCCAGACATTACTAGGAGTATTTGGTATTGAAACTTAAAAATTGACAATTTTGATTGCATTTATATTGAGTTATTTTGTTCTATAGTAAAATTTACTTTTCAGACTTTAGGTACTGTACAGACTGCATTGCTTATAAAATACTTCACCTAAAATTTTTTAAATTCTTTGGTTTTGAGGGTTTGTATGCTCCCTCCACCACCAAATATGCCATTGATTGTAATTAGGATGTTTACAAAACAAAATTTTCTCCTTGTTTTGATGATCAGTGAAACCATTTTGATTTTCATAATAATGTTTTGCTTGCTTGATAGCAAAGAAATATGTTTTTAAACAAGTTTGAATTTGAAAAATTGTTTAAATTTAGTAAAAGCTACGCATATTCTTTTTGTTTTAATTAATAGAACATTTATTAAATTATGTGAAACAATTAAAGATATAAGTGGATGAGGATGTTATGTTATAAAATCAAAATTTTGAGTAAATTGACATTCAAATTTTTATTTAATTATTTCAGTGTAAATATACTCAAGATTGTGTTGCAGTGGTTATTACAGGTTGTACAACTTGTCAGTAAATATCAAAATGCATTTTGTCCAGATTTTGAATAATTGTAACATAACACCTTCATCTATTCATGTCTTCAATTTTATGTTTTGTTTTTAAGCATTATGTAATTTAGTAAAAGATTTTTGAAACTACATTGTGATATCATATTTCTTCCAATGCCAAGGAAGTTGAAACTGCCCAATATCTGCTAGGAGCACTGTTATGTTGTGAGAATAAAGGAGCTTGACAGCATATTAACTTACATTTATGATACTATGCCAGAATAAAAATTTAAAGTCAGTTGAATGCCATGGAGGGCTGTATATGCATAATTGTTTCCAGTTGGTACAGCACTTAGTTATATCCTCTAAATTAATTGGTCTGGAAGTGAAGATTTGATGAAGATCTAAGTAGCATAAATTGGCAACACAACTGCACAGTAAGCAGGAATCGCAGTTTCAAATCCTGTTAAAATAATCCAGAAAAAAATTATCAAATTAAAATTAATTAATTTAATTCTAATTATTAAATTTAATATAAGATGGCAACTTCATTATCTATGATTAGTCCAAATTACTTTTACATGTTAATGAAGTTATGATTAAATGAATTCACTGTTATCATTTAATTTATAATTTGGACTTAGTTTACTGTGTAATTTTCTATTTGTACTATGTTATAAAATTTACCAGGATATTCAGTAGACACACACAACACACAAAGGTCACAACTTTTCTATTCATTTGGTCCACTATCATTCAGTGTGAATGTAGAAAACAACAGCCAAATTTTTAATGTAATAAGACTACTACTGAGAAAGCATGAATCCACAAATATAAATCCTGTCAATATGGAAACTTGATTTCATCAGATGAACTCAAAATGAATGTTAGCGTTATAGATGTTCCCACAAACTTTAATGTATTATATGAATTTCTTATTTTACAGACAATTTATAATTTAAATTTTATATTAACAATTGAAATAGCTTTGGTTTTTAATGAAGATTAATTCTTAGATCAAAAAATGCATTCATAAGATTTTTTTATAACAAGCTATATTATACAAATATCTTACAAAAGAAATAATTCTAAATAAGATACATATCATAAATAAAAAGCATTTTATTGTCTATATTACTTTTTATTATTTACACCAGTGTTTTTCAACCTTCTTGAATACGTGACCCCTTTACAAGTTAAAAAATTCTGGTGACCCCCCCATGGCCATATTAAAACTATGTCAGTGATTTTAAAAACTACTGTATGTATTTAATTTTCTTTCTGTTGAGATTTAAATATCGATAAAAAAAAACCAATTGTACTGTAAAATAAACAGGCACAGCCTTCTCACTGAAATTGTAGTTTTTTTTTATTGTAATGTAGGACCTACAAACACTTGTCTTTTTCTTTTACCTGTGACCCCCCTGAGGGTCGCGACCCACAGATTGAAACACTGATTTACACTATTATATGTTTCTATAAATTTAAACTTTCTTTTTCGATTCTAACTCATTTGAATTTTGATGGAACAGTTAATAATGAATGTTAACCAATGGTTTTATACTATAGATATTGACTGATTTGATCTGATGTTGAGACAGATAAGTTTCAAGAAAGTTTAATAAAATAAAAAACTAGACTCCTTACTTCTTAGCATTTTAAATTGCTTAATCTATAATGGAGTCGAAAAGGGATGAAGATAGAAATAGAAAATGATACACAGAAAAATAAAGAATATAATCTGCAAAATATCTTCAAATTATATTTAATATAAATCAAACCTAATCTGAAGATGTTTCAAATAATAAAAGTGAAAGTAAATAATCCAAAAATTAATTAAGATGTAATTTTAATTGTATCTTTAATAAAAATGTGAATAAAATACTGTTGAATATCATAAGTATAAGAATATAAATTTTAATATAGGATTGAATAAATGCTTACAGAAAAAATAATTTTAATCATGGATAAGATTTAATTAGAATTATTTTAAATACTAAAATGTATTGTTTTCATACTTAAAAAAGTGTACTAAGTTTTGATATATTTTCTTATAATACTCCGTAATTAAAGTCCAAGTTAATGTCAGAAGAATTTACATTTACATCATCTCTCTCTCAGAAAAGACAGTACAGTACTCTGGAAATTTCTAGCCAGTGGCTTTAGTGNAATAATTTTAATCATGGATAAGATTTAATTAGAATTATTTTAAATACAATATGTGAATAGATGTGTAGATTAAAATTATGATTTATTTCAACAAAATTACATAATTCTTTCTGGAGAAATTAGATTTTATTTATCTTCTTTTATTTTTTAGGTACTCTGCTGCCAGTTTCAGTTAATACACCAGATTCTAACCCATCAGAAGCATCTCCTCAGCAGAATGTTGTTGTTTTACCTCCAACAGCTGACAATTCTGTTCCACCTCCACAACCACTTTCCACTGATGGTTTTTCTAATCTGATTAATTCCACTACTCAACAAACAACAGATCATGAAGAGGATGAAATGAAGTCAGATGATGATATGAATACGCTTGTACTAAATACATTTGAAAAACTACTAGAAATATGCTCAGAACATATGCAGGTAAAATATTTTAAAATAAGTAGATAACTGTATCTTACTTCCTCAATTCTATGATGCATTAAGTTTTATTTAGATTAAGATTTTTTTATAGAGAAAATTATTTAGTTTTATTAAATTCTGCTAAGTAACAATAAGTTGGAATAATCAAGAGAAACAAATATGTATAAAAAAAATTACTAGATAGTTATCGTTAACCTCACAACATTTGAAGGAAAAGATGAAGAGGATGACCATCATTTCCTCTTTTCAACTAGTGTCAAGTGACAGTTGTTTCCTTATTCACATTACATGAATATACATACATAATTTATTTTAGATGAGAGAGAAGGAATAATAAAAATGACCAAATTTGTCTCCCATTACATCAACTTCCTCTAGAATAAACCATGGTTGGTTAGAAAAAAAAATTAAAAAAAGAGAGTGATGAGAAAGACACAGAAGAGAATCAACACCAGAGGAGACAGTCAGCATGCAGAGAGATAGAGAGAAAGGGAAGGCAGAAGCAACAACTTTTTTCCTGTTAATTTGTGAGCAAATTTTGGGTTATTCTCCCCAGTTAGGCACCCATTAAGATTTAACAGTACCTAAATAGACTAATTTTCAAGGATAGACTCTGTATTATCTAAATATAAGTATAATGTCATGCTTGTTTTCAAATAAATTTTTTGGAACACTGTCTGACTATCATGGCTGTTGGCCTGAATTTTCTGCTATCTTGTGATTTGACTCATTTTTGTTTTTTCTTGGAAAATGACAGAATTTCCACCTCAGAAAAAGAAAACTTTTTTGCTGTTATCTCAAGACAGATCTCCACGAAATGTAAGAAAATGAATCAGAAGCAAACAGAATGTCTGGTGAGTCAACAGAACAGCTGATCTTGTCTTATATAAGTGCCAAAAAGGAGATTAACGTACAAGAAGGAATTTGACTTGTTGAAATTACAAGGTTCTTCAACTAGTAAATTACAAATTTTTTTAGAGCATTTAGATAGAATGCAAGCATGAATTGAAAATTTAGACACTTCTTTGGTAGAACTTGAATCCAGGCTCTCTATCCTTGAAACTGATAGAGAAAAAAGTTGCTAAAAGTAATAAATCAATTACAGAAATTGATGCAACATGTAATAATTTGCATGAAAAAATAATGAGGTTAGAAGATAAAGAAAGAAATAATATTGTAATCTCAGGTATAGAGGATAAGGATAAAATGGACGATAGCTTTTTTAAGGTTCAGAAACTCTTCAACGATAACTTAAAAGTTACAGATGTGAACATAAGTGTGCTTCTAGAATTGGAAAATTTAAACCAAATGGAAAAAGATTATTTGTGAGTTGATTGGTTTTGAAGATAAATTAAAAGTGTATAAAAATGTTAATGAATATATTTAAACCTTTTAAGTTGCTAATGATGACTACTTAACAAATACAAGAACTATAAGAAACAAATTAAGGCTTTATGATAAAGAAATGTATTCAAAAGGAACTAGGAATGTTAAATTACAATATAACAGATTAATTATAGGTGATAAGACATTTGTGTGTAATTACAAAGGTGAAATTATCCAGCCAGATGAAGAACAATCTTTTTTAGCAATATAGTTTACAATGATAAATAGTATGATGATAAAAAGGATAAGGATTATGAATATAAAGTTTTGTACTTGGATGATAATGATAATATAAAACCTTTATAATATTGCAGGCTTAAATAATAAATATTTCTTTCCTAACTTTTGGAATATGATATACGGAATGGATGTGTTCTGTCTGGTAGAAACATGGCATACATCTCGCAATTGATTCAATGTTTTCTAATGACTATAAATTTATCATCAGGTAACATATAGATGTGAGGGTCCTGGAAGACCCAGTGGCGGATTAATTGTTGGTTTTAGAGTAGATTCAGTCTCTGGAGTTAAACTGATATGTTGAAACTGATGAGTTCAGTCCTCATTTGTGCTGATTTTACAGCTTGATAATGACAACTTAACCAATATCCAGCTATTAGTGTCATATATTCTGCCTAAAAATAATTATGATGATGATTTCAAGAATATTTTGTTGCTTATAGAAAACTACTTGCTACATGGAACTAACTTGGTTTTATGCACAGATTTTAATGCTAGAATAGAACACCTTGATTATTTGTCATTTTTTACTGGCAATCGACAAATTGTCTTGAGAGTTTTGAAGGATTCCACTGTTAATAATAGAGAGAACATCTCTATCATTTTTGTGAATATAACTGTCTTGTGTGTTTAATTAAGAAAGTGAAAAAATTAAATACGGATGAATGTTACGTTTCACATAAAAATTATTTAAAAGAATATAAATTATTTTATCAAAAGCAAAAACAGTCTTATTTTTGAAACTTAAATAGCAGATTGCTGACATGCAATAACTCTAAAATATTTTGGCAAATAATTATTTTAAATGTAAAAGTTCAATGGGTAATTCAAGAATTCTTTTGGAAAGATGGTTCAATTATTATGCTACTAAATTCGCTAAAGAGCATTCTTTACTTATTAATGATGAACAATTGTCTATGGATGTGTATAAAGTGTTGCTAATAGAAATTGAATGTTTTACAGATTTTACACTAGAGAAGTTAAAAGGAGCTATTAACCATTTTTAATCTGGTATCTATCATGGAATTAATTTTATTAGAACAGAATATTTAAAGTGTTTTTCAGAAAATTTTTTCTTACAACATTGGAGGTTTTTAACTCTATTAAAGGAAATTCTACTTTCTTGGAAAAATGGATTGAATCTCCGATTATACCAATATATAAAATAGGCGATGTGTATGACCCCAAAAATTATTGGCCCATATCTTTGGTTTCTGTAATCGATAAACTGTTTACATCTTTTTAATTTTAGACTTTCGCTGGATGATGAAATTTTCTTTAACAAAATGTTTACATCTTTATTAAATAAAAGATCAGATGATTGGATTATTTGATATTTTGTGTCGGGAGCAAGCAGGTTTTCCATCTGGCCGATCGTGTCAGGATAAAATATTTGTATTAAATGCATTGGTACAGTTAAACTTGCAGAAAAAGAGAGGAAAACTTTATGCTGTTTTTGTAGACTTTCAATCTGCTTTTCATACCATTAATCATAAAGTTTTATGTCTCTATCAGAAAGAATGAGTATGAATATACAGTTTCTTGGCCTTATAATTGATATATACACCAAAGCCATTGCAAGAGTAAAGATTTTAGCCAAAATGACTGATTCATTTGGTATTGACATTGGAGTTTTGCAGGGTGAGATTCTGAGCCCACTGCTTTTTAATTTATTTGTTAATGCTTTGATGGTTAAAGCATTAACTTGTTAAATCTGACCTACCTGAGATTTCTCTCTCTGATCAAGTTGAGTTACATGTACTAATGTATACTGACAACACTGTAATTCTTGCTGATACTCCATAAATGTTACAAAAGAAAATCACAATTTTAGAGGAATTCTGTTATGACTATGGATTAACTATAAAGGTTTCAAAAGGAAAAGTGATGGTGTTCAAGAAGAGTGATAGACTATCATCCAAAGAGAGATGGTCTTTTAATAATCAGCCTGTACAAGTTGTTTCAAATTATATATACCTGGGAATATTATTTTTGTTGACAGTTTTTACAGCTAAAAATTGCAGTATTCGTAAGGCTAAAATGATACTAGGTTCTATGTGGCCTATTCTTTCAAAAACTAAAATTAATTCTTCTCATATTTATATTAAGTTATTTCACTCAATGATTTCATCTGTACTGCTTTATGCTGCTCCTGTATCTTCGATCATAGACTTACTTGGAAGAGTCACATTGCCCACATCACAAATAGGACTAACCTCATTTTCAATAACCTTTTACATGCTGTCAGGTACAGCTGGGGACTTGTGCACAAGGCTATGAATAGCATATATGATTGTGTGTTTGTGCCTATTATAAGTTATGCATCTTATGTGTGTGGTGAGGCAGCACTCCACTCACAATCACCGTAAGCTCAGAATAGCTCAACACTTTGCGCTTCTGCGCATGACCAGATCCTACATTACTGTTTCGAATGCTGTGCTTCCTGTTTTAGCAGGAAAACTTCTTATCCTTCAGCAGACTCAATATTGCACTGGCAGGTTTGTCCTTACCCGAGGTAAATGTATTACTATCACAGATTACTCGCTCTATGCTTCTTGTTATGAGGTTAGTAGATCCTTTGCTGAATTGCCGCACCCTGCTTTCAGAAGAGAGCTTGGATCTTGTGATTGTACATCTGTTATAGAGGTCTACATGGATGGGTCAAAGACCAAACAAGGCACTGCCAGCATTTTTGTGGTGTATATCAGCAATGAAGAAATGCACCATGACGTCTTTCTCTTGCACCCGGAGTGCTCGGTGTTCCAGACGGAGATGTTTGCTGTTTTTAAAGCAACTGACTTTTGTAAAGCAAACTTTTACAGTTGTGACATTTCTATCTTCACTGACAGCTATGCTACTGTTCAGGTGTTGACAAACAAAGACAGCCTTCACCCTAACACAAGGGATATCTTCATTTTAGCTGATCAGTCCAGCAACAAGTACATCAATTGGATCAGGGGACACTGTGGCATTCTGGGTATCATTGTACCATAGAGTGGCAAAGGGAATGGGATCGTTTACCACAACAACATATCTCTTGTCAATTTAGTCCAGATATTGCAAGACACCTTACATGGAAGTGGTTTCATCCACAACACCAGATCTCGCAGATGATAACCGAACGTGGACGACTTAATGTATACTTGAACTGTTTTCATCACAGTGACATGAATTACTGCCCAATTTGTGATGCGCAGGATGGGGTGAGACATTATCTGCTGTTCTGCCCAATGTTGGAAGATATCAGACACACACTTAAACTGCAAATGGAAGACGACAACCATAACTGGCTATGTGAACTTGAATTACTAATATTCAGCAAAAGTTACTTCAATCTTTTTAACATCATGACCAAACTTTCACATCAATAGGACTCTAATACATTAAGTATGGTACACCTTATTTTTATCTTCTTTGTACATATGCAATATTTTGCTTTGTTTTTGTTTAATAGTTCTTTGATGTCATGTGTCGTTTGGCATGTGTCGACTATGTAAACCCTATACATTCTTCTGACTGTGCCCAGCGGTGTCAGGTGAATAGTTTGTCTGGATGTTCTGTCTGCTTCTGTATGTGCTTACCATGATTAAACTTCTTCAAAGATTTAAGGCAAGAACAATTTCCATTTTATGTTATACCATAAAATTCCAGCTTATATGTTGTGATTGGAATTTGGTGTTTCTAGAATATCAGTATTAATAATAAAAGCAATAGTTTCTTTTTGGATTAGACTGTTGAAACTATAAAATAACAGCTATGTTAAAGTAGCATATAACAAACTGTATAAATTATGTTTAATGACAGATAATTATATGTATAACTGGACATTGGCATTGAAAAGTCTGTTAGATTGATATGGTTTCTCATTTCTATTGTTGTCTCAAGATCTTTATTTTATCAAAAGTTATGAAACATTAATTATAATTGTGTGTTGCAAACAGAGCATACAAGAAGATTGGTCTTTAGAAAAGAACAGGCATATTCAATTATATCTTATTTTTAAAACAACTTATATGTGAGGATTATTTGTCTACGAACATAAATTATCATGTAAAATAGATCTCAGTTTTGATGGCCCCCTAACCCCACAGTAGCCTGCCTACCTATGCTAAGTCTATGCAAACCATCAACTAAGAAGATGAACCACACTCAGAAATTTCTGGCTACATTCCTGGTGAGAATTATTCATATAGACATAACTAGTGAAAATTTTGTGAATCCAATAGAAACTAATGTGATTTTGAAAGTTGTATATTCATATGGAATTAATTTTTCTGAAGAACATCAGTGTCTTACACACAATCTATATATAATGGTAAATATTAAAATAATATATTTCATACAATGAATACAGTGTGGAATTCCAGATTTCGTTAATCCCCGTCTCAGAAGTATGAAAGATAGACATAATGAAATTTTGGCCATCCAGATCAGGCCTGGTCCCATTTAAGCTGGATAAATGGGTTCCACTCTAATTCAGAAATAGTATTAAATTAGAACTGACTTTTAATTTAAAAAATATATGAGATGAATGTATTAGATTGGGGGTGGGTAAACATGTGGCATGTGTATCCAAAGTAGCACATTGGGATAAATTATCTGTCACACAACATACTCATATAATTTTGTTTATATTTACTGTTAAATTTCAATTTATCTCAATTTCTGGTTTTAAATTCAGTTTAATATATCACCATTGTTTACTCAATCAGCTTTACATGTATTTTAATTAAAGCATATTCATTTCATTACTTTAAAAAGTATTGTTTGAAGTCTAAAACTTTGGTGCACACAAACATTTTTAAAGATAATTATGCTTACTAAATGGCATGCAGATTCAAAATGTCTGCCATATCTGTATTATATAAATCCTAATAATAATAAAATTATTACATTTGTTATATTTAGAAATTGCAAATTTATTTTTTAGGAAAAGAAAGTTAATGAAGTAAAAAGACGCCTCAATATTCTTTCGGAATGTTGGAAAGATGAAAAATTAAGTAACACTATTAAGCAGAAGTTATACAAACTTGTAACAGGTAAATACTAATCTACATAAAAGGAATATTTTTTTAAAATTAAAGTTATTTAATGAAATAAATACAGTATTGTAATATATATTATAATCAGATTTCATTAGATATTTAATAACGATTTTATACTCAATTCAGACTAGACTGGTTAAAGTAATTAAGAATTAAATTAATGGAGTTGGTTGACATTTTCAAACAAAAACAAACAAGTTTAACTTTTAATATACTTTAGATTTAGTGATGTTTTAAGGTACTGTACTTTATGTATGTAAAACAGTGGGCATTGGAGCATGACATCACATTCCACCAGAAAAGTCCAGCTATTATTAAAAGCTGGAAAGACACCAGCTCAATTAGATTATTGGAGCAATGCTTGTATATATCATGCTAAAAGATCTCCAATGTCACAGAATCCAGGACTACCATCCACTTCTTCTGGAATCTCAGTTATCTGATAGATAAATTACTTTCTAAATGTGCATAGTGGTTAGATCATGCAGATTTAGGAGAGACTAAATTATACATCCATATACAGTCGACCCCCCTATAAGATCATAGATACGTTCCATTCTTTAGGAATCCGATTTCTTACAAGTCCTTGCAATCACAGCCCGACACGTGTCAAGTTTACGGACTACGGCTGATTGAAAGGTTTTCTTCCATAAAATTAATCGATTCTAGACTAATCCGACTCAACATTTCCAAAATACGTATATATTTTTTGGGAATAATCCGTATAAACTATGCTATAAACAAAAAATTGTAGGATTACTTACTGAGTGTGCGCTATTCGATATTGCCATTGCTAAAGCTTGCTTTCGTCGCGGAACAGCTCAGCAAATAGCGGCCGATTTCTAACAACTTATTTTTCTGCGAAAACTTTGTTGAACTTTGGAGACATCATTAATATAAATAATTTTAATCTCCGTTGAATAAGAAATGTTTTTTTTCACAAGAAATGTATAAAATTACAGTACTGTATTAGACTTACGGTACCTATTTACATACTGTACAGACGATAGTTAGTGTAAAATCTTTGTAGCATGGTGCCACGCTAGACGGCGGAAATTATATATTTAATTATAATAAAGTTACAATAAGTTAATATATAATTATATGTACAGTACCTAATTTATATATAATTTATATAATACTGTCCAGACGATAGAAATCTCTCCGTAGCATGGTGCTACGGATGGCAGGAAAGTAGTTCGGCTGCCCGATGACGTTTTACGTAATTATAGGAGTTTTTTTACCTTTTTTTTATGGATACCGTCACAATTTTTTCGCAGTTTTATAGGAATCGTAATTATAGGGGAGTCGACTGTATATAGTTTAGTCTCACCTAGTGTCACATTATAGGTTAAAATGAATATAAAACAAATAAAAAATACATCATAATTTTGAAATAAAGTTCTCTGTTATTAAATTCTATCAGGCATTTTTGAAATTGGTTTAATCTTATATAGCTGTAATTGAAGGTTTTGTTTTTTGTATGTAGATGGAAACTGATGTTCCACACTTAGATTGAAAACATTTTGAAAAAATTCATTTTTTTCCTGAACTAAGTATTTTTGGATATATTACAGTCTAAAATTATATTTATTAAGCTGCTCCAATTTGTTTACATTTGGAATATTGTTGCCAGAGTTTATGTTAAATATAGACCCCAAGCAATAATCTACAGTAGCATGTTCTCAAATTTATTTATCTATTTTTTTTTAAAATACCAAATATGCCTGCCAAAATTGTGCACTAAATGTTTAATAAAATTGCTCTGAGAGTCAATGTAATAGTTCATATGTTAAAAAGCAAAAGAAAACGAGTAACAACTTTTAAAAATAATTCATTCATTTTATCATTGATTACATAAGCGATTTTGATGTTTGGATTATTAATCACATATTTTCATATTTAACCTATCAACAGGGGACTAGTCAGGTATAGTTCTATCCCAAAGTAATGGAGAATAAATGTGGAAAATTTTTAAAGTATTTTTCAGTGCGTTTTTTCTCATTACCATTTCAGAAAAAGATTTTGTAAACAGTTATGTCTAGTAAAGAAAAGTCTTTTTTTATTGTTACGTAATTCATTTTTTAAGTGAATTTTTTTTGGCGGTAGTTTTTGGCAATATCCCCAAAAGAATTTAAGGGATATATCCGTCCTTCACCACTGCCACACGATTGCCCTGGACAGATATATCCGTCCTTCACTGCTGAGTGGTTAATATAATAAACTAAAAATAATTATTTTAAATGTGAATGTTACAAATACATATTTTAAAAATTATTTTGCTTATTTTCTCAGCAATATTAAAGAAAAAATATGACGTAGCCGACAGTATACATCTCAGCTTAATGATGGATCATTTCAGTGAGGTAATTTATTATTTTATAAAATTAATTTACAGAAATATTTATAATGAAGTATTTTGCTTAAATTTCAAATTTGTTTTATTTAAGTTACTGCAGAATTTTCAAAATAAACAAGACATTGAAATGACAGTACATTAGAATCAAGAAAACACTGTTAGTCCATGGGTTGCCAAAGTGGTTGATATAACATTATTGAGGGGTTGATTGAAAAATTGAAACAAATATTATTATGTTTTTGAATATTGTTTCTATGAATTTAATAGTACAGCTACCCAGCAACATATAAAATGGCTACGGATCAAGTCACACAGGACAGACGGAAATTGCAGAGTCCGTGCTCTGGTTCTTACTTACATAGTACATGCCCAGCATTCGTAAGCTGGGCATGTACTATGTAAGTACATTGGGTGTAATGCAGTACGTTAATGTTATTAGCACCTCTATAGCCATTTCAAAGCCACTGTTTGTTTAATTTTAGTATTTCACATATATACAATAAATGTAAAAAATGTAAAATTAAAAGAAATGTATTAAAATAGTAAGAGCTTCTTTTTTGGTGGGGGTTGATGTGAGATTTTGAAAAGTTGTAGGGGTTTGACGATCAAAAAAGTTTGGCAACCCCTAGTCTAGTCTAATAAGGCACCACTGTATTTTTGAGATGTCAAAACCTGAAATGAAATGCATGCACTTTATCACTAAACTTGCAAAATCAGTTAAAATTATCTACAATCAATGTTTTAAGAGATTTCATGTTGACAGGCACCAACAAAATTTTTCAAATACATAATATCTCATAGAGCTACATTTGGGAATTCCCTCATACAAAAGCTCAGAAATATCATAGTCTTATCAATATATCATAATCTTACATTGATAGCTATAAGTATTCAGTAATTATCAAGTCTTAATTTTTAAGAAAACCCATTTTATAAATAATCTCTAAATATCTAAAAAAGTTTGTTTTGAGATATTTTATCATGTGAGTGCATCAATATAATTCAGTATTATTTCTGTTTATACTCAATTGTTTTACAAATTTTTTTCCTTTCTAGAAAAGAAAAAAAAAACATTTGTAACTAAGAAAAATGAATGAAATATTAGTGGCAAATGATCTCTCTTAAATGGGGAATTAAAATTTGAAATATTTAAGAAGTTTTACAAGTTTAAAATTTACAATATTTAGAAATTATAGGGTTCCTACATACCTAGAAAGTTGGGGATTTTCATTAGTGTTTGGAAAAAGTCAGGAAAATCTGTCTGCTTAGCTGTCCTGTTCATTTTGTTTGCAGAATATGGCTGACCAAGTGTAGCCATCTGCAAACAGCAAGAAGTAATGCTGCAACCTTTATTATGAAAATAGCAGAATTCGTTTTTCTATCGAAACATTTTTAGTATTAGAGGACATCACTAGATAAATTTTAAAAAAGACAGAATTGTTTTTGTGTCTTATGTGCATAACTGCTAAACTCCGGGGATCAAACAGTCCCTAATGTGAGCCACCAGGGAGGTTGGGAATTCCTCTCCTTTCCAGCAGTTAGTCTGTGACCTACTTTCTTGTCTAGAAGGGCAGTAATGTTTGGTTACACGCTACGCGAGTGGAAGAGAGTCAGAGGGGTCGTTGACAAGACATTGGCAAAGTCGAGTAAAGTCACCATTTAAAAACAAAACGAGTTTATTACAAAGCATCTACGGAAAAATTTACAAACCTAATTACTCTAAGTTCCGTTATAACAACCTATCCTGCTACTGCACAGATGGCAGAGAGAGAGAGAGAGAGTTTACAAATATGTGTTCATATCTCTTTGCATATATCAGTGGGATATTCTTCCATAATATCATCCAAATGGATTCGTGGTGTAGGTCTGCGATGGGGAAGACAATGTCAGACTTTGACGTTTCGACTCACGATCAGCGATTCTCCCCCGAGAGGGGAAGAAGGATGGCTTTTATACCTTTTGTGGTGGGAAAATTAGTCAAGTGATCAATTGTTTTAGCAGGTGTGGGGTTAAAGGTGGTGATAGAATGGCAATAATATAACAAATTTTGCCTGTAAGGAATAAATTTATTTTATAAAATTAACTAAATTTTGAATCTCACACTAATATACTGCCAAGTCAATTGTCATTTTAAAATTTTAAACATTTTGGAGATTTTAAAAATGCTTTATTGTGAATTTGAGAGAATAACCTACAATATTCTTGATAATGTAACATCGATTAAAATTTTTCCAAAATATTTTAACCCTTCTGTTTATTTCTATTAAACATAAAAGTGCAGGAAATTAAGTTAGGTAACAAATATCACTGATTTTGGTGAATTTAGGGCTTAAAAACTGCCAAAATTGATCATACCAGTAGTAATACTGTACTATGTTATAGTTTGAATATCAACTAGGTAGCCTTAATGGGGGGAAAAACACTATTTTTAAATTTAACTTATTGTTAAAATTATATTGCTGTTTAAAAACAGTTAAAACCAATCTTTCAACAAAAAAGGTTAAAATTACATGTTTCTAAGTCAAGAGTTTATCTTTTTTAAACACAGTATAATACTGTTTGTTGATTTTATGCTACCTTGTGTTTATTAGATTTACATACAAATGAAACGTGAGCTTTTTTATTTGTTCATTACATTGAAGTTGTGTGGATCCTCTCAAACATTTTTCTACAGGATATATATACTATACTTTTTGGCACAGTCTTTGAAACATATCAACTGTGTAAAAAAGAGGGATAGATGTAAGTAAAATGCTGTTTTATTATGTCGATATTCCATACTGTAAGAAATGCGAGTTCAGGGAATTTGGTCAAAATTGGTCATTCAAAATAAAAATTTGAGTAGTAACCTTGAGTATATCTTGCCTTATTTTATATTAATTATCATCTCTAGCTAAAACAAATAATTCACAAATCTCTTTTGAATAATTAGATTTGATTACAAAGTGTTTTAAATTGTTAATTATTCGTTTAAATATTTTGGTTACATTACAAAGTGACAGTTTAAAATCTTAAACTGTCACTAGTACTCATTTTCTTCATTTTGTATGTTTATAAAAATATAATAATTTCTAAACCATTTGAATTTACCCATTAGTTCTATGATTTATTACCACATCAAAACATGCTTAACAGTGTTTACTTGTAAATAATTTACTTAAAACATAAGTTCATTTCCCAGCTGTTTAGCAGTGGTTTAGATTTTCTCAATCATTTTACATATTTCCATCAGGTTGGAACTTGGATGGTCGGCGTCAAACATCTACTACACGAAGCTAAAGAGAGAAATATTTTTATTACGGATGGTGCTCAAGATGATGATAAGTTATGATTTAAAACGTGTATTATAAATAACGAGTGAGTAATAATAGATCTGTAGTTTTGTTAATGCGATAAAAATCATTTGCCAACATTAGAAGTTTCTTTGTAAATACAAAATTTATATTTTAATTACGGAGCATAAAAGCAGCTTCCCGGGAGTGGCTCGATATTTTTATAAATTAATATTTTGTGTGAATAATTTTTTATATTTTGTGTGCACAAATGCAATAGATATTGAGATTAATTCAAAGACTAACGTGTGTATGTGTACTGTATATGTATTGTTGGTTCCAAAAAATTAATTACAATTCCACTGATGCGACTGAGAAAGACATTTTATGTAGATAAAACTTTCAGATAGTTTTAAGCCATTAAGATTGTTATGCTTGCTAGTTCAATTTAACAATAATTCTTGTTAATGTATTTGACAACTTTTTAACACTTAACAAACTATAATAGAAAAATTCTGTGTAAAAAGAAAGTATTTAGAATAATTTTTCTATTATAGTTTGTTACTTTCTTTTTACACAGAAATTATAGTACTGTACTGTTTAATAACACATTTGTACAGGTTGGCCCACTTGCAACCACAGAATCTAATTACATATAATCTGTACTTAGGAATCATAATTGACTTCATGTATTGAAATTTGGAAAAAATAATGTTTTTCTGGAACCAAAAATATATATCTGCAGTTGTGTAAGCTGAACTCTATTTTTTTTTTTTAAATTAATTTTGTAGAGCAAACTATACATGCTTTACAGTTTGTGCAATCAATATGCAATCATTTATATTAATTTGAGAAATTATGAATTTCTTTTGGTATACAATTTTTCCTGTTTCTTCTATAAAACATACATTTAAGATGAAGAATCAATATGCAAGTGAAATCTTAAATATTTTAACATCTAAAGAGAGAATGGCACAATGTTAGGGTCACTGATTTTGTCAAGCTCTGAGGCTATGGTGCTTTATGCAATTTTCTTGTTTAATTTTGAGTAGTGCACCTTATTGATTGGCACATGTCAGTCATTGGGGACATGCCACCTCACTGAATTTGCCCAAAATCTCATGCTGTCCTCTTGTTGGCTATCTGATAATGTTAAAAAAAAAAGTTTTGCTGCTTAAAAAGAACTTTCAAAGAATTAGACTATATTCTTGTGTCTTAATTTGTAAACCAAAACTTTTTGGTACAATATTCTGTTCCGAATTTCAATTGTCTGAACTTGCAGCAAGTATTTGTAACATTATGCTTCAAAAATATATATATATATATACTTAATGGATGACCAAGGAGGATACTACAAGAATGGTTTAAATCTATTGTTAAAATATGTTCTGAAGTGAGATATAAAGATGATAATGTAGAATGTAAGTTGTTTCGTTATCTAAAGTTAATATTAAATTAGCCCTGGCTCTTAAAAATAATTAAAGTGGTAGATTCTATTAATAAAATCAGTCACAAAAAAGAGATTTAAAGACAAAATTATCATCTAATGTACTGTATAATTTCATGTCTAGTCCCAGACCTCAAAGTGTTAAATACAGCAGTTTGGAGGAGTAAAAAATTAGCCAGAATTGTGTAAATTTGCACACTAAGTCATGCTCTTCTATGAAAATGGTGTATGGGTTAGTAATAAAATAAATCTGGTGATTCTGTACTATTAACTGTAGTAGCAAAGAGAGGTTGATGAAAGCTACAGGAATCCTCAAAGGGGTTGGTGGTCAATAAAGATAATTTGATCCAGACTCTAGGAAGAAATCGATCCGACCGTATTGATTATTTGCTATGTCAAAGTGGAATCTTAATTATCAAATGATACCGATTGGCGATAATTTTATGGGTAAATGAACTGTCAGATTTACAGAATATAATTATGAAATTGGCAATTTTTGGTGTTTTCTTATTGTTAACTTTATGTCTTAAAATACAAATTAATGTACCCACAAACACAGACTGAATTCTTTTAAATCAAATTTTAGCAAGAGAAAAAATTATGTTGAGAAATTAATTCTAATCTAATAAATAGTTTAATAAGACCTTGGGGCAAGAACACACAAGGGTGATTTTTCAGAAACTTGAAAAAGAGTTAAATGTTAAAGTTTCAAATTTTTTCATTTAAACTGTTTCTAAGAGCCAATAATCTATTATTACATTTTGGAGAGATGACAGCAAAGATAAAACAAATATTGTAACTCACAGTTGCCAAGTATGATCTACAGTTTGTAGGACACAAAACCAAAAACTTCAGAGTTAATTTTCTATGTATTGTGGCAAACTGCATGATATATATATACGTCTGTAAACAGTTATTATTATGTCAGTCTTTTGGATGCATGTGGAACAACAAATGTGAGTTATGATATTGTTTGTAGTTGTAAAAGCTGGTAGGCTTGTTTATAAGTGTTGACACATGTTGGATGACAGAACTGTTTCTCGGATTGTTCATAAGCAATGTCAAACTATTTATTGTATGACATACTTTATAAATAAAAGAAAGTATTATTTTCATATTATTAAATATTATTTAATAATGACATTTGATAATTTTTTTATGACAGACTACATAAGAAATAAAAAATTTCAATTCATTTTATTATTTAAAATGATGCCAAACTGTATAAACATTTACAAAATGTAAAAATAACACAGCATGTACGTAATACATTCATAATAAATATGAGATTTTCCATTCAGATGTGGCTGGAAACTTATCACAATTGAGATAATGGAAATTCTCGACTTCATGTTTATAAAACGCAAGTCTCAAAATTGGCACAGGGAAGGTTTACAATATAAGATGCCTAGCTTATTGCACATTACTATTTAAAACTTTTGATCCAACCATACGATATTATATCTTACATTAAAAAAAAAAAAAAGATATTCAGTCGATCAGAGATTAATATGAGACATCCACCACAATTATGTCCCTTCAAGGGGTTGGTCAGTCGGCACGTACAACTCGAACCCATGCCATTTGTATATTACAAAAGTGTAGACAAGGACTTAAATCTGGACCTCCTTGGTGCCGTAGACCAACCTGACCTGCGGTCATCTTGTCGACTTTCTTAATTAATCTCAGTTTAATAGACATTTTAATAGACAGTTTTTTTAATACTACTATTAAAAATTAGTAAATACTCAAAATAAAAAACTTTATCAAAAGATTATAAATTATGTTAATAATTAAATTCAAACTCAACTAGGACTTGAGTTTGTAACAATTTTAAATATCAATATCTTTCCAAAAAATATGTATCATTAAATTAGAATAATTTTTAAAATATTTTAACAAGTTACAGAAATTTCTTGTTAGTAATGCTTCTTAAAACCACAATTTCTTTTCTTTTCTTTAAATTACACTAGCATAATTTATAATCGGATAAATGTCTTGCACAAATTTGAACATTCTATTATATATAAATTCTACAATTTAAGAATATCAATGATTTGTAAAAACTCTCCATTATATCATTAAGCTCGTTAATTTTCAGTTTACTTGCTCTAACAAAAACTTGTCAAGTACTAAAACTAATTCTCTCATACATTCTTAAATCAATAGCAAAGTTGTGGTTGATGTTGTCATTGTAAAAACATGTAAGTCAGACATTCAGCACCACCTTCCTGTAAGCCTAGAAGTTTGACAATGGTGTTTGGAACATCAGTGGAATCATGCTCAACATTCCAAATGTCATTGTCAAACTTCTAGGCTTACAGGAAGGTTGTGCTGAATGTCTGACATACACGTTTTCACAATAAAAATGTCGGCCGCAACCTCTATTAATATGCGAAGTGGTACTTATATTAGTTTAGGGGAAGTAATACAAGATATACAGAGTTTAAATGACATTTAAATTTCAGAAATTTCAATCGATAACAATGTATTTAAAGGCACTTTTTGAAACTTATTAATGCATTCATTAAGTATGAATAAAAACATACAGTATGTAGCTATATTAGTACTTATTTGTACTTATAATATAGTAATGTACAGTACATACAAAAATTGAGCTATCAGATTATTATTAACAATTAACATGATTGTCTTAAATTGTAGTAATGAGTAAATGATATATTTTAAAATCGACAATTATCATAAAAATTGCCGACTTTAAAGTAAGTATTTAATTTTAAGAACTTTGATATAAATTGGAAGATTCTTCTGAGCACCATATATTTGACTAAACAACATACAGGTAATCCCCGTATAACACACCACTTCTATAGCATGGATTCACTCTAACATGGTTCAAGAATTGGGTTAAAACCCTCTTACAACATGAAATGTAATAAATTTTCATATACTTAAGTACTAATAGTTAATGAAAATAATAATTTTCGTGAACTATTAGTACTTAAGTATGTAAATTTTCTTTTCCGCCTTCTGTGGATACACAATCCTTCTCGAAACATGTTTCAGTGTTGCCAGATCTCAACACTTCTGATTTTGTGTTGCCAGATGTTTTCCCTTATTCCATACTTGCTTTATTCTTCATAAGTGCTTAGCACCATACAAGAAAATTTATAAAGATCTTTTAACTAAAAAGCAAGCAAGCAATCTAAAATAATGCATTTTTTTGCAAAATGTAGAGCATGGATCTGAAGATAATGCAGAAAAATGCTCAGAGGATAAGGATATCTTGCCAAAAAGAAAACACCCTTGGTTAATAGTGCTTAGTGATGACAAAAACATTGCTAAATTTATATTAATATGTATCACTTAAGATAAATATCTTTATTAAAATTTTCTTAATTATGAAAATACAATAGCATGTTTTTTAATTTTTGGAACCTAACCCTCCTTTTCGTACTAGTTCTTTGTATAACATGGATTTGCATAACACTGCAATTTTTTGGAACAACTCCCGTGTTATATGGGGGTTACTTGTATATACATTCAATAAAAAATGTTTTGGATTAGGACAATTTTAAAAATATCCTGTAAATATTCTAGTTTCAACATTATATTTGAATTTAAATTTTAAAAATAAACAATTTTATCACGAGGTGCGTGTATCAGCTTGGAACTTCACAGTAGTAAAATTATGTTGATTAGATAAACACAATAAAATCGGCAGAGGACGGTTTGAGATTCAAATTGTCCTCTGCTGATTTAATCATATTTGAGCAAACTAACAATTTGATCTCAAACTATCCTATATTAATTCCTAACTCAAGACTATGTACAAAATTTACAAATATACTATATATAAACTATTATTATCAAACTCGAGTCTGCACTCTTTTCAGAATGAATAAAGTACCACAATCATCCACCGTCACGAAAACAGAGAAGTCATCGGAAGCAAACAGATGACGCTTTTCACCTCCCACGTCAAAACTCTGTAATAACTGTCCCTCTATGCTCCACCATTTAATGCTATCTGCTATGGAAGCCAGTTGTTTAGAATCTCGAGAGAATACTATCTGCTGCACCCATCGTTCGTGTTTTTTAAGAGTAATTGCCGTCAATGGATTTTTGTGGATATCCCAAACCTGTAAGTACACAAACAATGTTAATCAATGAATGCATCTTTCCTAGGAGGAACCATCATTTCAAATTATTATTCACTTACATCATATTAAAATCTAAATAAATGGTCATGCAAAACATTTTCTTTAGAACACATTAATTACTAATTGGAATACAGATTACATTAAAATTTTTACAGATCAAGATTTATTATGTAACAGGTGCACATACTTTAATTTTTCCATCATCATCTCCTGCTGCTAAATATTGGCTGTTCGGTGAAAAATAACAAGAGCGCATGATATCGTCAGATTTTAGAATATTGAGTTTTTCTCCGGTTTCAGCATCCCATAACTTAAATTGGATCAAAATATGTTTTATATGATAATAGAAAGGGTAAGATAATTTTGTTTTAAATACTCACAACAACTGTTTTATCCACCGAAGAAGAAGCTATATATTTATCATCCAGAGATACATCGCAATGAGTGACAGTCTGTCCCTCGTGATCGTGACATTGTAATAATTCTACACCAGTTTTGGTGTCCCAAACCTTAAAAATCAAATTAATTTTATTATGTTTAAAATTATGGTAAGATCACTTAATTATGAAAATACATTTGAGAACAAAATTGTTTAAACAGTTATTAAATTTATATATAAACTAGCAGATAGGCCTGGCATTGCTCAGGCAAAAAGTAACGATGGCGAAGATTAAGATTATTACATTACAGCCAATCTTACCCATTTTAAAAGAATGCAAGAATTGGGTCACCCTGTTTCCAGACTAATTAGAGAATTTTTAGATGGGTTAAAAAAAAGTTTGATTTCCCACAAAATGAAAAAACCATCTTCGTCCGTAAATCTTGCACCTCGCATTCTCTTAACACTTCCATCAACAATGGAAGTGTTAAGCCTTAATCCTGTCCCTCTCCCCCGTGGGGAGGAATTTCGAAAAATCCCTTCTTAGTGTGTGTTCTCATGACATATCCTAACTGTGTACCAAATTTCAACTTTCAACTCCTAACCGTTTGGGCTCTGCGCTTATTATTATCAACTTGTCTCGATTATATATATAGATGTATATTATTGTTATATGTATAAATTTGTTTATATACAGTAATTTATTGTGTGAAATAAGCCACATACAAAAATAAAATGATTATATGTGGATTTATTTTATAGAAAATTTTAAACGATGCGTTGGTTTTTTTAATCAATGAAAAATTTATTATTTTCTAATATATTCCTAAACTGTTCAAAATACCTTCCTTATTTTTAAGTTAGTCTCTTGTCAACATTATTCATAATATTTTAATTACACAATGATTCTTCTGTCCCAATTACTGTTGGATTCTTCTAAAAAATTTTTCTGTAAAATGGACAAAGATCTAAAATGCTCAAAATTAAATAACTGACATGTAAATGTTTTATTTATCAAAATAACAAAACAAAAATTTCATGTCATTCCATCTTGATAAAGGAGAAATGATAGATCCCTAGTTTTGTTTCTGAAAAACATTAGCAAAATAACTAATTAGTTTAATAAATTTCATGCAAATTATATGAGAATGTTTGTTTGGATATTTGCTTGCTATACACGCCTAGATCGTTCAACCAATTGCTACAAAACTCTGCAGTTATGTTTATATACTGCTAACTTAAATAATGTCAAACATTCCACCGCAAAATATCTATTGAATTTCTGTAAATCAATTAATTTCTGTTTCCATACAATTTGCTGGTTTACACGTAGTGCCATCTATTGGCAAAAAATTTAAGAAAATATAAATCAGCAAATCAGATATTTTATATGTAGCATCAGTAGATGGTGCTACCTGTAAATAAGCAAATGGAATAATTAAAATGCCTCAATGTCCTTTTTACTTACTAAAATGTAAATTTTCGACTATAAATTCGTATCTTCTAATGCCAGGACTTATACTGTCTTTACAGATAATGCTACAAAGTTTTTCAAACTGCAGCTCAATAACTTTTCTATAAATGCGATATTTATGAGAACATACTTCCCACAGTTTAATAGTTTGTTGCAAAAATATAAACACTATTATCACATAAAGGTAATTATCACATTTTTACAAGAATTTATTTAAACAAATATGAAGTCTTTCAGACGTTAAGGTTAACAACATCAATCACGTGCGTGACCACCACAACGTATCCAACACAGATAACTTTTTAATTATTACTAGTAGACTGGTATTAATTAATAGTCTTTGACCATTCTCTCTTCTGGGAGGAAGTCAACGACTTTTCGTACAAATTACTTCGATCTCCTTCTGCAACAGTCTCCTTTCTATTGGACAAGCAGTATGATGGCATTCGAATAGGTAAATTGTATAATACAAAGTTACTGGCAAGCATAAAATATGTTTTAAGTGGTTTTCAAGGATGCCCTGTTTAAATATATGATTAAATATAGAAGGATTAGAAGTACGAAATAATCTAATAATCTTAACCTTTGTTGTTATTTTTTGCTCATGCAATGCCGGGCTCATCTGCTAATACACAATAAAATGCATTCTAAACTAAAGTATTCCAAACAAATCCAAATATTGTTTCCCTTTGGTCTGTGAGAGTTTGTAATCTATAGATTTAGAAAATATTATTGAGTCTTTCCTTTCTATATTTCCTTTTTCTTTGGTAATATTCTAAAAATAAAAACTTTTTTCAAAAAATTCAATAAATATTTTAAACAAGTCTAAAACAGCAAATAACTGCTTAACTTGTAAATACAGTATTTGCTTAGTTTCAGTACCTTGCATTATGGATATCAAAGTTCTATGTATATACAAAATTTAACTCAACAGATCTTAGAAACAAAGAAAGATTATGACTTCATAGCAACAATACAAGAATTTACTATTATTACTTATCCTAACATTCTTTTGGCTTCACACTTGTAAAAATATGAACAAATGAATAATTTGTAACACGTGAATAGTGAGAATTTAATGATATATGCAATTTCTGTGAATGGAATTTATATTCCAGTCACAGAAATCGCACTAATCTCTTTACTCTGGCTGCAAAAAATGTAAAATGCAATGCCACAAAGATCATTTTCACTCTCCTACTTGTCACATTATGTCACTTCCAAAATACTCCGATGATGCATGACATAATTTATGGAAGCCCATAGATAAATGACTTTAAATTAAAAACCTAATTATTTTGACATCCTAACTATTTCAGTTATATTATAAGAGAAGAGATTATTAAGAGAAAGATATATTTTCAAATATTACTTACTCTTGTTGTTCCATCAGATGAACATGACACTACTTTTTTATTACAAGAAAATAATTTGAAGTAGTTAATTTTTTTTGTGTGACCTACACAAGTAACATATTTTCTAGGTTCTTTCCAAATCTAAAAATAAAATGAATCATAAAACAAATAACTTATATATTCTTATTTTATTTGTAAGTTAAGATACGAAGCGTGCAATGCCATTTTTCTCTAAATGCATTTTATTGAAGAAATGAATTCTAAATGCAATGTTTTCTGCTTCAAGAAAATATTATGGTGATGTAAGTGGCTGTATTTTGAAGTTGAATTTATGCACCAGCTATAAGGCATTGCACGCTTCATACGTCATATATCTTTTAAATAATTTTTAAACTTGAGAGATACATTTGCTTATAATTTTTACTAATTAATGAAATCTAATAATTAATAGTCATTAAAAATGAACTAGTCAATTACTATTTCGTTTTTTAATGATATAACATTTTAGAATAGAAAATATTATAAACACAATATCTAAAATAATATTTGGAATCCGAGTTTACAGTGTAATTTTTTCTTATTTATCAATAGCAAATTCTATATTGAAAAGTAATGGAAAAGCAGATATTATAACAATAAAAATCTTCCAATTTGAATTATTAAAACAATATCTTAAAATATTTTTTTATACGAGGCGTGTCCGGAAAGTAAATACCGTTTCGTTCTACTGCCATTGCAGTGGTAGTATCGCAGTTCAGCACCTGCACACACGTCTCTCTGGTTGATTGTCAGTCCAGTGATGCCATTATAGCCGGATTGTGTTGTTTTTCCACGTGTTAGTGAGCATTCAAAATGTTTAAGACTATTGCCGATCCCGCCGACTGTGAAGTGCATTCTGTAATACGGTGTTTTGAATGCAAAAAATGTTAAGCCAGTTGAAATTCATCGTCAACTTGCAGAGATTTATGGAGAAAATGTAATGAGTGTGGAATGGTTAGAAAGTGGGTTCGAGAATTCAATGCTGAATGCACTGATGTTCATGACAAAGCATGGAGTGGCTGGCCTTCTGTTGTCAATGATTGTTTAGTTGCAAAAGTGAATGAAAAAATTCCTGAAAACAGACGGTTCATAATAAGATTGCTTTGTGATGAGTTTCCACAAATTTCAAATACTGTTTTGCATGAGATTGTTGCAACAACCGATGTTCGGCAGTGGCTGTCTTCACTGGCGGCATCTTTCTTTGAAGAGGGTATAGACAAGTTGGTTTCCCAATATGACAAATGTCTGAACAATGGTGGTAACTATGTATAAAAATAGTTTCAGACATGCTCTTTCATGTAAAAATAAATTTTGTTTTAAAAAAATATTTTTTATGTGAGTTTTTCCAAAACGGTACTTACTTTCTGGACATGCCTCGTATTTTAAATTAGTTGACCAAATATTTATCTTTTTATAAAGAACAAAATATTCAAGACTCTTACATCAAAGTCCAAATATATTCAAGCTTGTTAAACTCATTGTCAGAAGCAATTAAAACAAGAACTTCCACATACTAACAATTCAAAAATTCAAACAAATTCTGATGTAAGCACTATATTCCAAGGCATTTTTTCACTACTGACACAATAACTTTAACACAAAACGATTTCCAACAACTTAACACTTCGATGAGTAATAATAATCCACGACAACCTTTCTGTACAAGTGTTATGTTCTTAACTACTCCACAAATGCTTTCGACCTCCACCGAGGATCACCACCTGAAGCAGACCTTGGTGGAGGTCGAAAGCGTTTGTGGAGTAGTTAAGAACATAACACTTGTACAGAAAGGTTGTCGTGGATTATTATAACAATAACTTTATTGAACATTCTTTTTCTTCCTTCTTTCTCCACTATTACATTACCCATTTCTACACATTGTTGGTAATGGCTTCCCATCTTCGAAATTAACTATTTCTGATTCCTGATTGTTCTTGCAAATCTATATCTTTTCATTGTCCATATATACTCTCTCTCTTATTTCTTCCAAGACACATCTTTCCTTTTGCACAATCATCTAAATATTTCCTGAACTAATAAGACAACCACTCTACTTTCTGTTGATGCATATTGTGTTGGGCTTGCACTAAATGACAATGTAAATTCCTGCACCATCCAGCCCTTCTATCAGAGCAGGCTGTTATAATCTTAGACCTTAACAAAAATAGTACAATATTGTTGATTAGAAAATTGAAAAAGAACATGAAAAAATACATACTATTACCTTTTAGTGCATTCAAAATATCAAGTGGTATTCCAGACCAGAACAAGTTGTCTAATATGACAGGTAGATGCTTCACTGCACAGCACACAAGAGATAGCAGTGCATCACTACACAACACAAATGTGATGTGGGAGTGGTTGACTATGTAACTAAGCTTACATTCGAAATGATATTTAATAGAAAACATCAAATACTATTAAATAAAATCCAATCAACAACATATATGGTCTGTCCCAAAAGTAAGTGTACTGATTTTTTATTTCAAAGTATACAAGATTTACATCAAACTAGAAACGATCTCCTTCAAAGTACGACCCTTGCAAGGTCACACAATGGTTCCAGTTTTTTCCACTGGTCATAGCAGTTACTTGAAGGTATTTTCCATAAGGGTGTTTAGTTCATTGGTTACAACTTTCTTGATGTTTTCCACTGCCCTGAAATGATGACCTTTCAACTTGAGTTTTATCATAGGGAATAGGTATAAGTTGTACAGAGCTAGGTCCTGGCTGTAGGGAGGTTGTGGGAGTGTGGGGATTTTTTCTTGGCCAAAATCTCTCGAATTGATAGTGCTGTGTGAGCAAGTGCATCATCATGGTGCAGCATCCAATCTTCTGCAATGTCCCTAGGGACTTGCTTGACCTGTTTTCAAAGTCATTCCAAGACATCTTTGTAGAAGATAACAAATGTCTCGGTTGCAGATTTCTTGAGTTTCACACAAAACTTGATAGCGTAATGTTATTTGAGATGTTTCTCAATTTCAAACGTAATGATGTGTTAAAACATTATCTTAAACAGAGATTTTGCACATTTGACTTAACTGATCAACTTTAAACATGTCTAGCTAGACATGCTTCTAAGATATCTAGCAACATGAAAATACCAATTAATGATGTGTTAAGCTGCACAGTCATTAAATAAAAAATCAGTACATTTACTTTTGGGACAGATCTTGTATAACCCATCTGCCTTATATAAGTTTAGTTGGAGTTTAGAAATATAGTTTAAAGTTAAGAAGAGGAATGCAGCAGGAAGAAAAGAAAGAGGACACAGCAAGGAAGATCTCTCTATATTATGTAGACTTTTAGAGCTCAAGATTTTACAAGGTCTTATAAGGGCAATAAGAAAGATGATTGTTCTCAAGAGGAACCCCCTACTCTTTTTGATTGTCTTAGGAATGAAAAAAAGTGAACTCAATAGAAAAACTAAGAATTACTCATATTTGTTCTATATCAGTATAAAATAAATATAACTTTAGTTTTAAAATTAAAATAAAATTAATTATTTTTAACTATTATATTAATATACTCTTAAAAATTTACTACTTACTGTTAAAAGTGTATCTGCAGAACAAGTAACAAATTTCCTACTATTGGAATAAAATGCAGAATGGATCACCTCTAAATCATGCCCCGGATAGTCTGTATTTTCTTCTGTTTCAATATCATAAACCTAAAACAATATAAATNTGAGATTTTTTATGATTATTTATAATTTAATTAACATTAATATTGTACAAGTATCCCTTGCTTAATGCAGGATTTGATTAATGCGTGAAATTAATTGCTGCAATCGCTTTATATACACTGCTGGCCATTAAAATTGCAACATCAGGAAGGAATGATCATATGAATGTCAAAATCATATGAAAGGAAGAAGAGGTTGGGATATGCAAATGATTAGTATTTCAGTGCATTTAGACAATGCAGGAGGGACAAACGACATCTGAAGCACTGCATAAAAGAAAAGTTGTGCAGTGGATTTCTCATTCAGAAATTGCTTTGTAAGGTCGGGGTTTCATCAGAATATCGTGTTATGCCTCTAGTAAGAAGAAGAAATGCTTACCAGCAAGTGTTGGAATTCGATAGAGGCAGGATCATTGCCTCTCAAGAGTGTGGATTATCGTTTTGTGATATTGCCACTCGCACTGGTCAAAATCCAACCACTGTCATGCGAATATGGAATCGACGAGCTGCTGAGGGTCTTACTGAACAGCATGCATAATCTCAATGCCCTCCCATGAAAATGCCCGAAAGGACAGACATATTGTGAGGTCGGCTGTGCAAAACCGTACAACCACATCACGGACCATTAGTCAGGAAATGAGCTTGTTTGCAGCACGTCTAGTATCTGCTCGTACAGTGCAATGATGTTTGCAGCAGCGTGGACTGTCAGCACGGCAACCATTACTTCGGCTTTCCTTGACAATGCAGCATAGAGAGAGACAGCAACTCTGGTGCGCCCAACGACAAAGCTAGATATAGGAGTGGCACAATGTCATCTTTTCAGATAAGTCCCGGTTCTGCGTGCAGCATTCTGATGGCCGTATACGTGTCTGGAGGTTCCGAGCAGACCGCTCATCGCCTGCTTGCATTTGATATTAGCTTAGGGGCCCTGCACCTGGTATGATAATATGGGCAGCCATTGGGTACACGACACGCACATCTCTAGTTCGGATCGATGGTAATTTGAACTCAGATTGGTACATTTCTGACATCTTACATCCAGTGGTTGTGCCCTATCTTCGAGGCCTGCAAAATGCCATCTTCCAACAAGATAATGCAAGACCTCATGTTGCACGTCGAGTTCTGACCTTCCTCGATACAGAGGATATTCAATTGTAGCCCTGGTCTGCATGTTCTCCAGATCTCTCACTAATTGAAAACATCTGGTCATGGGTTGCTGAGAGACTGGCCCGCCACCCCTCTCCTGCTAATACAGTTGATGAAGTGTGGAATAGACTTGAAGCAGCATGGAATGAGTTGCCCCTTTCTGTCATCCAAGCCCAGTTCGACTCCATGCTTAAACGGATAAGGACCGTTTTAGCCGCCGGGGATGGCAACTGTGTCTACTAATTTCGCGCCCCTGTAAACCCCCAAACTGCTTGCAAATTTAATCATTTTGTCTTTATGCCATACTGTTTATGTACAATAAATATCTTTTTTTTATTTGCTTTCCTTCTTGGTGTTGCAATTTTAATGGCCAGCAGTGTATGTGGCAGAATTTTTAAATAATGTGGCTTTACCAGCTGTCTTTACTTAACATAGATACTGTATATACTGTATTTGATTAATGCGATTTTGATATACGTGAGATTAATTACCCACATTAATCAAGAGATACCTGTATTTACTTTATTAAAACATTTTTTGTTATTTTTATAATTTTTTCTACCTTAACAACACCAATATTTGTACCATAAATAATTTTTGAGCAGTCATATGATAAACAACAAGTAGTAATGTCACCATCTCTCTTTTCAATCATTAAAGTTTTATTCAAATTTCCTTCTAAATCTGAAAGAATCTGCAAAATAAAATCATTTTATATAATGAAAACTGCTTTATTATTTCCATTAAGTTATTACAAAATCATATATTAATTTTCAAAAACTTTGATTTTATACAAAGTTTATTAACTACACAAAATATTTCTATATAAACATAAATCATAGCCTGATATTAGCCAAAAATTGAGTGCTGGATTATTTACAAGGCTATTAACTGTGCTAATTATTGCAATTAATAGCAATAATTAATCTATAAAATATTTCTCATGGGTTTAATTAAGAAAAATAATTATTCAAAAACATTGATTTATAATAAAAAAAATGCACAGTGGAACAGGTCAACTTGGGTTGGTCTAGGAAAAAATTAAGACTCAGTTAAAAAGTTTCAAGATATGAAGGTTCAACTAAAAATCAAGATTTTGTGCATCAATTTATCAGTGACCATAATAAACTATCCATACAATACTTCCATGAATCTTATGTAAAATTGTCATGTCAATGTAATCCTCTGGTGTTGTCTAGGAACTCAAAAATGCTTAACTGAACAGTTAATACTTTTAAGGTGTTCATCTCAAAACATTGTTTTGAGATGAAAATCCAAAAATGCAATGTTTTCTGCTGCAAGAAAATATTGTGGTGATAGTGGCTCTGTGAGTGGCTGTATTTTGAATTCTAATAAGTGCCCTCCAGTAGCCAACTGGATAAAACCACTGAACTCTGGTAATTAGTTAGTCGGGTGTTCAGACATGGCCAATAGGCTAGAGTTTTCTGGGTTTACTTCAACATCTAAATAGAGTCCAGCTTCCCATAAAAGTCTTCCTGGGATGCATTCCCCTTGGCATATCGCTCACGTGTCGCGTTGTCCTAACCAAATAAACCAAACTAATTGTAACAAGTAATTATGGTGATATCACAATGCCAAGCTACAAATTTGTAGTTATACAACTTTGTAATATAGTTTTCTATTTATATAACTACAAATAGTATTAAATTGTGTCATTATAAAAATTTTTTTTGCCCATTCCTAACTTATTCATTTAGTTTCAAATGTTATCTCTTAAGTCCACAATAAATAAATGTTCAAAATTTATAATGCATAGTGAGGTAATAATAAGTACAATTGACTCACAATGTAGCCAAGTTTGACTTACACTATCACCAAATTCCTCTTATCACTTTTTAAACATGATGTTTTTGTTTGATCACTTAATATAATTATTATACTGGGTGATCAAATAAAATTATATACAGGATGAGTTAGGAGGAGAAGGAAATATCTCGGGGAATGATGATATAGGTCATTGTAAGCAAAACTTTATATGAACATGGGTATTATTCTCATTAGTTTTGGTATGAAAGTTGCTCACATACAATGATAATAATGAAAAGAAACACGTTACATTAAAAAAAAAATGCTCAAAAACTGATTCCTAAGTATAATAAATATCCTGAAGCCCAATATAGATACATAACCAAACAATCTCCTTAAATAAATCAGGCTATAAATCTGCTATTTTAATGGTTAATACTAAGTAATTTGCTATTAGAGAGAAACATTAGGTGCCATCTCTTATCTAAATTAATAATTATAATTTTAATATTTTATTAAATAATTTAGAATCATCTGAAAGAAAAGAACTGGCCTGGGACAAGGCTTGAACCCACAACCTCCACTTGCCATGCAGTGTACTTGCCAGTTGCACTATCCAGATCCTGAGCAAGCCTTCACTTCCAGATGTATTTAAATTTAGTTATAACCTTACGTGGTTAATCATGATGCCAACTGGGGCCGATTCCTATGCCCACAGCCTAAGTACATTTCCACAATGGCACTCAGCCAACTAACACTTTACCCAGCTAGGTGTATGTATATGTGCATATATACAGTAGACCCCCCCTATAACGCTTAGATACGTTCCACGTTAATCAAATTTTACGTTGTAGGAATGATTAAATACATGAGCCAATCGCAGCCCGATAGGTGTGAAGTTTACGGACTAAGGCTGTTTGAAAGGTTTTCTTCTATAAAATTAACCGATTCTAGACTAATTCCACTCAACATTTCCAAAACACGTATAATTTTTTGGGAATAATCTGTATAAACTATGCTATAAACAAAAAATTATAGG